CAGGCAAAAACCAACGAGTTGGCAGAGGAGGCAGGGTAGCGAAGACGGGACTTCTTTTAGGTGAACGTAGAGAAGACGGAGGTGATGAAGATACCCAACGAACAGCAGCATCAAAGCTCGGAAAACATCAAACCACCATCATCTTCATCCTAAGCTGCAAATCTTTCCCATCGTTTCAAAACATTAAACAGTGTACTATCACTGTACAAAACAGAAAATTTTGACTGAATACAGAGTTAACAGGTGAATGTTATTGTGGTTAATCTGATGCAATGCTTGGCAAGTTTTCTATTCGATAACGAACTTTGATGATAAAAACGAGTTCCAAGAACTAGGTTACTGAACATATTTTTGGTAAGGTAAAATACCTACAATGAAGGAAGTTTAATAAGATTTATGTTAGTGAAACTTCAGATACAAACCCAGTGTCGAAAATGGGAAACACACTCCCATTTAAGACAATTAAGTATAATGTTTAAATTATAGCATTGATATTTGTTCTGATATCAAGTACTATTTGTTGTAAGTTTATAAGGTATATTGTCGAATATTTTTATACCGCATAGTGAAAATAAGTTTGGTTGAATTAACACTTAAGGTTTAGAATGCACTGTTCGGTAACAAAGTGACAATCTGATAAACATATTTGATGACACACAATATACTAAGATCCGGTAATCTATCTAGTAAATGATAAAAACAGTAGAGTATATTTCACCAGATAGTAATGATAAAAGTGTTGCGTGAAATATCTTTCGAAACAGGAATAATTTTAGTGAATGATTGCTTCCAATAGCCACCACTTCAAGCTCTACAGTTATAAATCCATGAGAAAATGTGAAATTTATAAGTCAATGTGAGGTAAACAGTATAATTGTTTTAATATCAAGAATATATTTTACGCAAAGTCGATATCCCATAGCCTAAATTGATGAATGCGATGAAGCGTTAAGGGTGTATTTTATATAACAGAACCACCAATTCGGTGGTTGAATCAAGAAAAAAGAGAAAGTTTTGCTTGCTGAATCTCACAGCATCACTGATATATTTAAAAATAGGAAATTCGTTAAAAGTGATTAATTATGCAACGACTAACACTAAACTAGTTGTAGTTTTCGTTAGTGTTCACCAATTAGCGCGTGTACGTCTTCACAACAATTGATGAAAGTTCCTAATATAAAGGTTTCTGAGATAATAAGTGGACGATTGAAATTACGGAGTAGAAAAAATCTCAATAAAATCCGGATATATGAATGCAAGTTATTCTGTAAAATGGATTTTCACCTGTAAGCATATACTTTGCTGTGTGCAAATGAATGAATTCGTGATTTAAACACACACCGAGAAAAAACAATCATTCAGTAAGAAAACGAAATACAACAAACTAGGTATATTCGAGGAATATTTAACAACAACAATAATCTACAACATAATTGAAATGCACAAACTTAAGGCAGAAATAATAATAAAGACAAGTGAAGAATGAAACAGTACCATTAAATATTATGCATAGAAAGAAATCCCACCTCATCGAACCAATAAAAAGAAGCTTACCACATGATACGGAATACATACAGACTAAGATGATCACATACCAAGGGAAATTATTGAAAAGAAAATAAAGACAATAAAATTTACATATAAATAAAATCATCTATATCTAATATAAAAGGTGAAAAATAATGGCAGTTATCAATATATACCATTATATCTTAGTGATAAAAAGTTACAAGAAGTTCACTACAATTGACATTCACAGGAATGCATGACAGAAAATAACTTGACAGGAAAGATGGAGTAAGTCAATGCATCATATAACAGCAAACAAGATAAACACCGGAAAAGTCATAATGAAAAGGAGATATGTCACTAGTAGAACCATATAAATAAACAGCATGATAGTCACCTATTATACTTAGCTCAGATCTTTGGATTCAGTCTTGCTTGAACAGTTTAAGGAAAAATCCTTATATCGATTATTTCGCTCCTATTGGGATGGTCTCTAGATTTAACATTCCCTTATATTCCTTATTATCGGATAGTGCGCATGCCTCTATTTGTGAACTCATATACTCATAAACTCACCGACTCAAAAATCTCAGATGAAAACAGAGAGAAAACTGATCTTTCTCTCTCTCTCTCTCTCTCTCTCTCTCTCTCTCTATATATATATATATATATATATATATATATATATATAGTCAGGAATTCGGAACGTTAACATATAAAAGTTAACTATCAACCAGTCAGTAACCTACCCTGGAAAAAAATGGGGAAATGAACTGCTAACCATGCGAAAAGTATCGACTGGAAATATACTTTCCATGAATAAAATGTCACAGCATAAAAGTATTCTACATTATATTATTTGACACTGACCAGTTTTTATGCAAACAAGATGGATTACAGCGCTTATTACTAAAGTGATGAAAACAAGACTGGGAATCATGATTTTACTAGATGATGATATTTTACAAACGGATGACTTCATGTAGTAACAAGTATGTGCAGACAGTTTTCTAAGGTTCGCACAAAAATATCTCACGGTTTGAAAGGAGGTATAAATTGCGACACGATTGTATATAATCAAAAGCATACTGTATTTACAAAGTTATGGAGAAAAAAGAATAATATTTCGTATGTTCACCGAAGAGAATGGCATTAGAAAAGTTAGAGGTTCGAATGGCTATTTAATCCTAATGCTTGACCTATCTGAGGAGAAAAGTATCGATATCTAGCAGGAAAACTCATAGATTTTCTAGATTTTATTCGCGTTCACATGTTTCAAAACTCACCAGCAATGTGGTGGAAAATAAATTAGTATATATAGATAACATTAATTTATTTTCCACTACATTGCTGGAGAGTTTTGAAACATGTCATCTATGATTAGTATGATTAGTATATACCGGTTATATTGCACTGCAATCAACCAGTTAACTAAGTATATACAAAGTACCAAAACCATTTCAAACGAAAATATACTACAGCTTCTTGTCAAATGAAAATGTTGTGGTGTTTTCTGAGTTGGATGGCTTATTCGTGAATTGAACAACAGATTGCCATTCTTGAATGTCGCAGTATGTAGAATGAAAACAAGAAAATTATAGACTGAGGGGTACAGAACAACAAAATACTCATAGAATGCTGAAGTATGATAGCAGCAACCCAAAATGCATAAACTTTGTTTTGTACAGATTATTCAAAAAAGATAAATATGCTACAATACAACCACATTGTAGAGCAGTGGAAAAACTAAATGATTTTTTCCAAGAACGACTACCCAAGCAAATGTTCATTCGATTCGTGCCATCGATGCAGACACACAAGGAAATCGGCAAACGGCAAACTCCACCATGCAAAAAACACTAGAAATTACGTGAAACTGAGACAATTTTTAATTGTAACATAGTCAGTAAAGAGCCAAGATGTAACCACCTGATGCTCAGCTACCTGAAAAAAATACAGTTTTGGAAACAGTGCATTCCAACTAACTCACATGCCCTATCTCAATTCATTGTGAAAAAAATCTCAATACTCCCCCATTAAATACTGCACTAGGAATATTTATGGATAGGGTGTAAGGTGATAGTGTAGTGCTGAGTATGTGAAGAATATCATCTTCCTATGGGATATCACATACATAAACCGCCTTTGACTAGTTGACAGTTAGCATCTATAAATATGACAGGTACTCTTTATCATCGACATGCATGATTAGTAAAGGTTTGTACCGGGAATAAACCGATTGAGTGTTCATGCACACTTAGGTGAACCGGGTCTGGTAGACAGAGGTAGAAATCAAATATTTAGGCCAACATAGTGCTATATTTAACTCATATCATAAATATCTCTTTTCAATTGCGTAATTACTTTGGCGGATTCCAACTCCTTAAACGATGAAGAGAATCAATATGCTTAGAACATAATGATGAAATTCTCGAGACACTTCATTCTTAATTTGTGTAGTTGCTTCTAATATCTTTCATTTATGCTGAGCTCGCAAATAATAGATCAGAATTCTCTTATTGTTTCTAAACTACATGGACGTCTCATTCTATTTTATTCGACAGAAATTTGTATGCCGCTTACATACTTCGGTCATTGTACGCTATCTCAGTGACCTCAATTGTAGTCTGCACTTTCAACTACATGGTTAAAACTTGATGATATGAGGACATCAGATCAACTAATACCGCGAACAAAAGATCAATACAGTTAGATCAGAATCAAAACGCAATTAAATAAAGGTTGGTTGGTGAGAAGCAAACAGCAGGAAACCATAAATCTAGGCACTTTTGCCATAAGCTAGAACTGAAACACTTCTGAAAGGTTTGAATATGTGATCACGAGATAAAAAAGCAAAGTTACAACTTATTTGGCCTTCTTGCGTCAAACAACATAACGTTGATGAAAGATATTATGGTTACGATGCAAAAAATCGCGTCAGCAGGTCTTGATTGGACCACAAGAAAAATAACCAGCATGGAGCCCAAAGTTACACCCTTCCCAGTTAGGATTGTAGTAAAAAAGCGCGAAAATATTCGGGAAGTTAATTTTTAGTATAGCAAATCTTGAATAAACGACGGTTGATGAACACCACTTCATTCAAAAAAATTATTTGGTATGGCGACTCAGATACGGAAATGAAGTCCTTACGTTTCATTTTTTGAAGTGAAGTTATTTCATTAGTAAACTTGATGGTCGACTATTATATTAAGCGTATAGCTTTCTCATCATCGTTCATACAGTGATGAAAATATCGATAACCCATGAAAAACATCGATGATGCCAAATCATATCCTATTTCACAAATAAATTATAATTCACAGGAAAACATTCATGGTCTAAGTAGAGCAGTGTTAAGTATGCTGACCAGAGATTTAATCTATAGATATCGAAACTTAAATGACGCTTACGCTAACATAATACATGCTATGAAATGTTATACAGATAATGATGAAAAACTGACAAAAAACTGTGATGTATTATCAGATTACCTTCAATCTCTCAGATGATGTTCGTTTCAAAAAACTGCGAGGTCCTACGGACAAGGAATGGCCAAAATTTGAAAGCTTTGAGTGAGTACTACTTTTCTCTGATTGTTGGGAAATTTGGGTACTAGAATCATCTGACATTCCACAAACTTGCGACTTCATCTGATCTGGATTCAACGACACTTTGGCTAATTCTGTAACTGCAATTTCATCAGCCATATCTGCGGAATATGAAGTTTCTAAAACACTAAGTCCCAAAGTTTCCAACAGCTAAAAAGGAAAACCAATAAACGTGTTAACATTTACCACGTTTCTTTAGAAAATTGAAGATCTTAATATCCCATAACCCAATCCAATCTTAGACTATGAATGAGTCAACATATTAACACATGAGATCATTTCATCGTGTTCTATGAAAATGCTTTGCTCAGGTAGACCATTTTCACACAAACGACCATAGCCTAAAGAAAAAATAAATATATAGACAAACTCACTAAGAGTTGGCAAATTAATATACGCTTAAACAAACACTGGCAGAGCACAGACACCCTGGGATGCATAACAAAACATAATGCACCATTAGTAAAACAGAATGCAGAAGGGGGTCTTAAAAAGTGATAAGAGAAACGATTTCCATAAGACAGGTACCGTAATACTTCATTACTTCGAAAGATATTGAGGAAGGTATATCACAAGGAAACACTGCCATCAGTGTGAACTGGAATTGTAACTCACTGACTTAAGCATCTGACTTTCAAGTAGAAGGTACTGGGGTTAAAAGTCTAAGTTTACCTAGTTTGACCTGGGCGAACAGGTAGTATAGCAGCGCCAAACAACAAGGGTGACTCGCAATACAGTGCTTAAGCACAGGTGTATTATCTTCATCTATTTATCCACCCAAATCAAAATAGGACCAGGCATTACTGTGTAACGGACCAAGTTGCCACAGCTAATATCATTGCATCAAGCGAAAAGGCAGTGAAGTTGAAGATGAAGATAAGAAAATTCAGCTACAAGAAATATGAAACACAAGAAGAAAGAAAGAAGAACGAGGAAATGGTGAGATTCGGTATAGCGTCGTTAAGATGAGGATAATGCATGCATACATCTGCGCCATCGACATCGGTTCTGAGCCATGTCACCTACAGATTCCAACCACTTTTCCTCAATCTACTTTTAAGTTGTGTGCGCTCTTCATTGTACTCTGAGTCTGCAGGGAGGCGTTTACCTGCATCCATTATTTCGGAAAAACCTGCTGATATCCACCGCCTCCTCTTACCCACTCTCTCAGAGTCGGCTACGGTCTTCAACGATACTCTCACAGCAGACTGCAGATAGAACCAACCTTCTTCTGGATCACTTAAAGTCTTCTGTTCCCATAACTGCCTGGCCAACTTCTCACTGAACACGCCTTCGATGTTCTCGTTGTCCAGCAGCACTTCGTAGTGGTTTTCTTCCTAAATGTTTCCTACGTCCGTTGAGACGCAGGCATATACGCGCTCGGACCAACATGTAGTCGCTACCCAAACACTCCACTACTCCAGTAGGTCCGGCAGTCTCCCACCGATCCTCTTCAGAAATGACTAATGCCTATGTCGTCTATTTGTGTCCATCACTGGGTTGAGCTCGGTCGACGCCACGTCAGACAGTGTCTTTTCTTATGTCTGAAATTTGTGCCAGTTAAAACATAAGCGGTCATCTTAGCACAGTTGTAGTAGGTGACCACCATTATCCGTACGTTCAGCCGGAACTCCGAAAGTACCACCTAAGTGCTTTTCTGTCTCACTCAGTCCACCCACCTGTGCCTTGAAATCACCTGCAACAACCACCACATCCGAACGTTTGGTTTTCGAGAGGGGGCTAGACAGTTTTCTGTAGAATTTGTCCTTCACTGCATCCGAACTGCAGTCAGTGGGTGCGTAAGCAGAGATTACAAAGGAACAGTAGCGAGTTTTATGGTTCCTTTTAGTTTTCACTGTACCATTCAGTCAGATAGCGCAGACGTGACTATCAACTGGGATCCAGTCTAGTAGTCAGTTTCCTGCCTTAGTGCTTAGTGCTATGCCTACACCTGCAAGACCGCAAGAGCTAGCTATCGAATCTCCAGAAACTCGAAGGGTGAATTCTGCGGATTCACCAGATTGGTCAGGAGAGGTCAGGTGAATAACCGCACTTGGGTTCTGTATGCATGTCTCACAAACACAGCACACATTCATGGCCCGAGTTGCTAGAGTATTTGCCAATGAAGCTTGTTGACCAGTTTGACGGAGGGTGAGGACATTGAAGGCTCCAATATATGGTTTAAGGAGACCAAGGATGCTGTTCTGTGGACTCAGATCGTTAACGAAGGTTGCAGAGCTAAGAGAAATTAAAGATGATGTAGCATCGTTAGTTGAGAGACGTGAAGAAAGGTTAGGAGGTAAAGAGGGGGGAGGTGGATAGCAGTCTGAGGAAACTTCAGTGCTGACAGAGTTGTGAGGGCAGTTGACACTTTCCGGCTGCCCACACCGTGGAAGGCAAATTCTTCTTAAGGTACCTGGAAGAGATTTGTGTAACCACAGAGCCCATCGGATATCTCCTTGAAGCCTGTCACAAGTAGCCTTTTGTGTAATCTTGTTTTCAGCTTTTGTTGTTTTGGGGCTAGATAGTCGAAAAGAAACGACAAATGAACCAACACCGCCGGCCAGGGAGACCGTGGGGTATGGTGAGTGTGTTATTTTTGTGGTAGACCTTTTCTAAGCCCCCCTTCCACTAAGAAGGCAGCATCAGTAGGGCACTGTTGGTCATCCAAGAGAAACACCTTACTACTGTCACACCCTATCCAGCTAGCAGCAGTACGACTTCGCCCCCAGACTCCCATCATAGTGTAGTAATTTATACCACAACAGTAACTGCTTTTCATCTAACCCCTAACCAACAGACCTTTCTGGAATGACAGGACCTCGTTGGGTCATTATGATATGCAAGCTCGACCATTACGACAAGGTAGCACCTATCTTCATAATGTCACCTGAGGTCACTGAGCTGAATGACTTCTTGAATTCCACAAATGAGGAGCTCTGATGCACGTATATTTGCTAATTTAGTAGAAATGTCTTCCATCGCACGGTCGTGAGTCATCAAGTGATCACTTTTTCCCTGCCTCTTTCAACCGGTTCAACGACAGTCAACGGAATGTAGGCCATTGAAAGGGAAGAAAACATGCTCTTGCACGAATATAAACTACGAGATCTAGTTATGAAAACCCAAGAGGGATTCATAAAAGACAATTGGCTATAGCACAAAAATTAAAAAGCAGGAGCGATATCATGCCAAAGTAATTTGTATACTCTCTTGGCAAATTAAAAAAATGTAAATACTTGTTTGAATAAAGTCAAACTCAGAAATGACTCAGTTTCCTGGGGTGATCAATTTGTAACTAACTTAGGCAGTTAAATGAGAACTGTCAATTGTGAGTAAAAAAATGAAATAAATAGATAAAATATAAACCGATTAGTTTAGTAGCAACCCGAATAAAACCATAAGAAAAACTGATGGAAATGTCTTGAAATAAATTGGTCGTTTTGATGAATTTGTGTAATATAATAATAAGGGGGAGGTTATCAGAGAGATGTTATGCTTTTTGCGGGAAGTGCTTTGACGAAAAAGAAGAAATAAGCTACGAAATAACTGCAGTAAATGACTCAATACCATTTAAAAACTTTCCAAAGAGGGATCTAATTCATTTGGTTATCCATTATACTTTTAATATAAATTTGATTAAAACCTTTATTGTGCTACGGTTAGTTTAAGAATTTTTATGTACAGCAGAACGAACTAAATGTCTACGCAACTAGCAGCTGTTCAAGGAACTCCGTAATTTATATATAACAAGACAATAAACTAACCTGTCTTATAATAAAAGATGATACATCTTTAGATTCCCAGTAGCTTGCATGCAAAATTGGAGGGCGTGCGCGTGCCAGGATATTTTGGATTGCTTCAGGACAATGCACACTATAATCAACTCTTTTCGGACCCCACCAAGAGTGGCGTACTAAAAAAGGATTAAATGGGTGAACAATGGATAAAAATACAATCAATTTCATTTCTAGAAAATTCAAGTACTTCGACAGTATCTAAATTGCTCATTTTACTTGAGAGGTTCGCCTTTCAAATTCTCCAGACGTTTTAACAATGTTAGTTAGTAATGTTTTGCAAGGTGATACTCATCATGGACTGGAGTGACAGCAGTTGAAAAGACATTGGAGGCCTGGATGCACTAGACATCTGTTTCGTCATAGTATGGGACTCCTCAGCAATGCGAACCAATGACTCCGCAATAGATCGAAGTCAGGACCTTCAGGTTTCGCAGCCAACACGTTACCATCGAGCCATTAAGGTCAGAATTCAATAGCCCATATTTCCTACTTGTCAGTTCACTATATAGCGCGACCTCCATCCAATGCCATCGTCCAGTATCTGTCCTCATATCCAACTTGGTTGATCCCACCGGTCATTATTTCTCATTACAACTTCAGGAAGCATCTCCTGAAGGCAGTAACCAATGATCACTATAATTACTCAGTTTAGAGGTTTGTGGGGATGAATACCAACTTAAAATCAGTGAGTAAATCGACACGAACATCCAAATTGGAAATTCTGCAAGCTTTTGCATCTGAGTGAAGGAAACACATCGTGAAATGAGGTAGACCTAATACCTGAGTTCTTAAGCGGGCACTGCTAGGAGTTTTAAACGCAAAAGCTAATAGTTGAGTCCAGTATATAAGCTAGCGACAGACTCCGCGGGAACCGAAGTACTGCAGGGCAGAAAGGAGTGCGCTTTTTATCGACCGAGCTTTTCTAACCATCTCCCTCCTCATAGGGAAGGTAGTATCAGCATGATATTGCTGGTTAGCCAAAGGGAAAGTCTTACTATCATCACACCCTTGTCCAGCCAGCTGTACAACTTTGCCCTCGGACGCCCATTATACGGCAGGGATTTACATTATGATGGTAACTGCTTTTTTGTTACCAATATCCAACAGACTTTTCTGATATTAAAGGACCTCAAGCAGTAAGAGTTCCAGCCAGAGTAGCCAAATAGGTCACTGGGATATGTTGACTTGATCACACACCAAGGTAACAGCTATCGGCTAGGCATAGGCCACTACTTATGAGGGATGTATATTCATATTAGTTTTGCAATTAAATAAAATTAAGCACCAGCACTTACAGTGAGAGTTCATAGAAGTATGGGTTGCTTTAGCGTGATATGACAAACTAACATGGGAACTTGCACAAATGCATGAATTCGAGTAATGAGTCTTTCGTAGCATGATATGAAAAAAAAGAGCACCTTCTTGCACTTTAAATTATCGATTGTGACCAAAACAGTCCACATATTCCAACTACCCGACTCACCAATAGTGCATTCTAATAAGAAGTTCATTTATTGTTTAAACTGCTTGATTTCCACTTGCAAATTCTAAAGGTAGATAGGAGTGTTCTGCCGAAAGTATGATATACTTTTCATGATTATAACTGATGATTAACTTGAAATATCGCCTCTGAACTATAACAAATCTCATTGTAGACTTGAGTAGGTTATGCACACATGAATAACAGTCTAGAAACTTTTTTTTAACAGTATGATTATGAACTATTTTAAATATCCTACAAAACACGAATTGAAAAACTTATTCCTACAATGTTAAAACCAACCTTTCTTCAAGGTCTCCAGTGCAACAAGAGACTTCTTTTCCCAGCTGTATTTATGGTCTGTTGGTTGGCACTTAACACTTGAAGTGCTATCACTATTTTCATTTACCGAAGTATTAACATTTTCTTCGGAATCGAAACATTTATCTGAACGATTGGAAGAAAATAGTTCAGCTTGTTGGATAAGAGTTTCAACGAGATTTGTTGACTGCCCGTCACCCAACGGATAACGAACATACTGTGGAATAAATACTGGAGAGACATGACTGAAACGACTATCCAGTAGTGGCTCAATACGAAAACCACACGGATCAGTCAAATGAAATAAGTTATAAGCTTGATCTACGACCAGTTTAAAATCTATACACAGTTGTAAAGAAACAAGTATGTAGAAGTAATGAATTATAGATAATGGAAACGATGGTGCACGCATGAATAAGTAGTGGACAAAGATAAAACAAACTACATAACACCAAGGGAAAATCTACATTTCTAACTTTAAATTTAAATAATAAGTAAGGATCTTACTACATATTAATATACTTGTAATTCTCTTTTGTTTTATTGGATCGAATTGTTTGACCTGTATTGGCATATGGGTTCCTATGCGGATGCCTCGACACTGCATAGTGGTATAGTGGATAATGCCTCGGCATTTGAAGCGATGGGTACGAGGCTCGAGTCCCAGTGGGGACAACACTACTCACTGGGGTGCCGAGACATCCAGCTGACGAGTCCCAAGCGGGACGAGACGTGCGTCATGAGTTCTTCTGCTAGGTACAACCAAACAAATCATAAATAAGGATGCATTAAAATTACGGCTGTAATAAGCCACTAATTTGAGCAGTGTAGCTAAATAAGTGGACTGACTGAATATGGTTGAAAAAGTGTAAAATAGAATCTATAAAACATACCGCTTTAAAGTAATTGGAAATGCAGATACTAACATCACTAGCTGGATATGCCTACAAGTTGTGAATGGTAATTTCTGATAATCTCATGAATAAAAATAAAACGTTTCCTGATACAAAGCAAAATAAAGTCATAATGTTTCATTGTATGGGCATTGATCAGGAAGTTACTTGCTTTGTTCCGACCACTCTTAGTATTACCAGGGCAGTCCTACGACAGTTAAAAAAACCAATCACCAAACACAGCAGCATTGTCCGTGTACTATTTCACAACAACATCAGTCAATAACAACTAAAACTATCAGCTAGGTTTATTTCTATTACTTATTGATCATCATCTGAATTGCTGGCATGGTGTTCTCAACATAAGACAGCACAGTATCATGCAGAGAGCAAATGAACGGAAAAAGTGACTCTAAAGTATACAAAAATGTATGAATGGAGAAGAAATAAACAAATGAAAACTAGTGATAATTTTTATAGCCACTGCTAGTCAAGTCTTACGCCCGCATTATAACAGAGGTGATTCCAAAACAGTGAGAGTGTAAAAGCGGATATTTGGAGCTTATCAAGTGATCAGTTGGTACCAAAGGTATCTAAGGATGGTGGTCGAGAATTATTGGTCAATTAAACTGAAGTGTTAACAAGGGTATGGGAGTTAGATACGATCCCCACTGACTGAGCCCAATCATTGATGGTCCAATCTTCAGAAAAACTGAGAATTCCTCATATAACCACCGAGGGATCAGCCTGACGAACATAATGTCTAAGACTCAAGGTTTTATAGTTACCAGACATTTTAGAGGAGCTGAGGAACAGTAAACACGAGAAAACCAGGCATAACTATCACAGTGCTTTCTCGCTTGATGTGTTGATATGGGGTGGGGAAACTCAGACTGTGATGCAGTAATGTGTGGTCATATTTTGATCTTGTCTGTCGCAGTACACGAAGATATCGTTTAATCATGTGGCAACATACACGCTACTCAAATCTCAGTTCATTAGTTAGTGATCGGTGTTACGTATTTCGACAGAGGACTTTACGTACTGTTTATTTTTCTTCTACACTGGAAATGGGTGTGAGAACCGAAGAAGCTGTCAGTATATGAATTCATGCCACGAGATAAAGGAAAAATGTGTCGCGTTAGCATCTGCTGGTATCTTTCAACTTTCTGAGTGGGGCTCCAGAAATGTAGCTCATAATCTAAACCAGTGGTGATCATGCTAACTCTTTCTTGTTTATCCTATTACGAAACGGTGAAATAAAACTAATGCATGCTTCTTCTGATGTACCTAAGAAACAATTTCAATAATACTTTCTTATTTACGTAACTATCTTTTTGTTGCTTTCATAGCCTCCATATCAATTCCCTGTCTTCTTATTGTTGGTAAGTGATTTTGTACATCACATCTATTGGTAACCATGTTATACCAACTTTGAGCTTTCGATAAATTAATGAATTACAAGTAAAATAAAGTACTTCGCTCTGAATAGCTGGGTAGAATAATAAGCCAACAAACAAATATTTTAGCCCATTGCCTAGTGCATAAACATCTGTACCATAATGAGTTCGTTAAGTTAACTACAGTTTTCCCACATTATTCTATGTATACACGTGGGAAGAAGGGAGGAATCAGTCACTGAATCACTACGATCTCAGCAGATAGGTCATATTAACTCAACAAACTAGCCAGACGAGATGGTCTGGATACACTCAACATATTTATCGAAGAGGGATTAGTGGTTTACATGATGGGATCTACTGGTCAGTTTAAAACTGAGCATAGATATCGAATATTCGAAAACGTGGTGTGAAGTAATGTCAGGCGACCAAGGATGCTAGTTCGTTGAGGTCAAGTCATAAGGAGCTGAGAAGCTAAATGTAGTGTGTAGTCAGTAGAAACAAAAAATATCGAAAACAATATCTAGTATTCACTATAACTAAATATATAACTGATCTTGAAGCAATAAAACATAGGTGAACACAATTTAAAATGTTTTATCCATACAGGATATGCTAAACTTCCTCGATTACTCGTATGTGAACGAGTTTTTAGCCACATAAATAATTTCCAATCACTAAAGATCAAGTATATTTGTTTGACACGTTGAATACTATACTACGGAAAAAAGAACGATTACAATATAGCAGTAGGACAAATCGAAAAATGTATGAACTATGAATTACATAAAGATGTTAACTCAATGTCATCAAAACAGTTGAATTAATACACATAATCTAGTTACATAGAAACCTATTTTTAGACTGCATTTGAAGAGATAATTCGAATTTCTAGACTATCAAGCGAAAAAGATAAACCTTGAAGGTATGAGGTTCAGTAATGACTGGATGTGAATAACTAGTACTGAGATATTATCCAACTTAAAGTGTACATAACTAAGTTTCGTAGTAGCTTCTTCATGACTAACAGAAAAAAAAGTTAATATAGTTATCACTAGAAGAGTTACTGAAAGCTTACGGGAATAGAGAACAACAAATAAACTTCTCATCAAGGTTAAACTAAGCAGTGCAAAATGAACGAGAATGACTAAAGTTACGTAGATTATGTTTCTCTCTTTGTATCCAATTACTGATTCCTATGGTACAGGATACAGGGTTGTGCAGTTGTAATAAAGTATGATAATTCCAAATGCATGAAATTAGATAATATAAAAACTAACAGTTAACTTATTCTGTTATTAACAAATACCAACGATTTTAAAACAGTGTGACCAGAAAGTGTTGAAAATTCAATTATTTTCAATCAAACCACTGTACGAAATCTGAACTTTTGAAAAATTCTAGACGTAGTCGGACAAACCCGTTTCATGTGTGGTTAATTCACAAGGTAACCCTGATAAAAACTTGACATTCTCATGAGTTTTAGTCCTAATCATCAATTAAGAAAGAGAATAAGTGCGTCTAGTTTTTCCCTGCTTTATCTTGTTTCCTGTGTCATTGTCTGATTGTTTAAAACTGAATGGTATTGGGTTTTAAAATTCGAATAATATCATCTAGTTAAAACATTATTGTATAAGCGCACTAAATGAAGGATAAATAATCAACACATTACCAGTAAATACCTTGTGAAGAGCAATATACTTTATTGGGTGAACTGTTGGTTGACGAATTCAATGTACCGGCTGCCGACTGATCTTGTTGATGACGATAGGCCAAAATTAGACCAACAGGTGAACCCAACATGAAGAAATTTTGTACCTATGTATTATGGAGTTAACCAATGTAAGATAAGAAAATAAATCTAACCACAGAAGTCACTTTTAAAGGAGAAAATAATTTGCCAAGTTACTTAGGACGATTAAAAAACATATGGAAACAACTGAAGAGACTGCATTGTTTTAGTGACGTTAACTAGTCTAGATAGGTGCTGTTTTCTAAATTGATGCTTGACTAGATGGCGAAGAAAAGTAAGTTGAACGAATACGTGTATTCGTTGTAATATAATCAGGTCCATTTTTTATAAGTAGGAACTTTAGGCCATACGGTAAACAAATGTGGAGATGTAACTCATTGGCTAGAAAGCTTCATTTTCGAAGGGTTACAGTTTCAAACACTGCTCTAACTACTGAGGTTAAGACAACCGAGTAGTACTATAAGCCAAAACACAACAGGTATGGTTCATAGGCTGGTACTTAAACAAATGTGCAGGATTGGAGTGGCTTTAAAGGCCACCCTAACTAGTGACGAGACAACCAACCACTTTTCTTTGTTTTATGAAAAACTATCTTCTAAGTTGAAATACCGAAACTTGATTGGCTACTTCAGCAATTGCTGGGGTGACCTTTAAAGTCATTCTAGGATTGAGTTACACTAGCTTAAATCAACTTATAATTCATGTACATCTAGCTGTTCAAATAGGGAAGTGACCATGTTCAATGTGTTGATTGTCAATCTTACGCGGAAAAAAGACGTTAGGTACGTCGGTAAATGGTCGTAAGTCAAATAACCATTACACTACAGTGCAGCTGAAATTAATTTCATGCAGAAACAATGAGGGGATTAGAAAACCATAAATAACAATGAATAGAGAGGAGAGTACGAACGGGAAGTAAATAATCATCAAGAAGTAATTGATCACTATTTGCTTTACATATCAATTAAATGAGATGAATGATACTACTAATAATAAGTTGGATTCATGTTTTCCTGATAATATTATAAGGCTAAAGAAGTTCAGAAGTTTAAAAAGACTTTTGTCACATGCACAGATTGAGTTTCATCGATTAAATCTCAGTTACTTTTGCTGTCTGAAAGAATTCGTATGAAATCGGTTTGGAGGCTAATGGATACTACTGAAAGATATATTTATGCCAGTGAACTATGTACCAGACTAGACAAGCTTTCATGATCCCTATGGTGTTCCCACCTCGACAGGGAATAAGGACGGTACTGTTTCATGAGTTTTAAAAGAATCTTCAGTGTATGTACGCAGTAAATTAGATTTTGTTAGTGCGAATACATAACCAAGTGAAAAATTATCTACGTATGAATGATCAGCAGGTGGGAAAAATTAAAATGACGGGAATAACAGCAATAATAATCAGTATTTAAGGTCAAATGAAAGATGGAGAGAGGACAAATTACGATTGCAAAGTATGGTAAACATGAGGGATTTGACAGAAATAAATTATTATATGTTACCATGGCTAAGAAGGAATGAGTGCGACTCAACTCTGCATAAATTTATGAACTAAGCTACGGAACACATGTGCTGTGTGAAAATATCTATGATACTACTGAATGCCCAGGTAGAAGAAAGGGAAGCAGGACTCAAGAACTGTTGTTTGAAAATATAGGGCCACAAGAAAGGTTGATGAGTTTCCTCTGTCACATACAGACTGAGTCACAAACGATTGATTTTAGTGGCTTCTACAAATCGGACTGCAGTTAATGTTACTTACATTATGGATATGGGGACTTTGATGCTCTGAATCGAAAATATGAGATATGGCAGGACATACAGAGATTTGTCATTCTGGTTGTTCAATGTGCTCGTTTAAGCACGTATGCAGGCAACGGCGTCCATTTTGGAGGAGGAGATGCAGGGTGAGCGCACTTCAACTTACTTGAACTATCATATTGCCGATGGGTTTGGCAATATTTTACTGTACAAAGATTTAATCGGATTCCATTAGTAAAAACTGATATCGATCAGCAAAAACTTCAGATACATTAAGGTGATAATCCAGTAACTGCCAAACAAGTCAGTTTTAAATCCAGGTCACAACAACAGTAAAAAACACGACAAACGAATTGATAAGGTTCCAAAATGAGGCAAGAATAAACATAGAAAGTTACACATACGAGATCGAGAACGTCGGATGTTGTGTTTGCTCATTCTTTGGAAAACTTAAGACATTTCATTAGTCAACGAATTGGTTTAGAACTAAATCGAATAAATTCGGTAAACCCAAATACATTCCAATGATTACCAAGGGGTACACAAGTGTTACCCGGAAAATCAAAAACAAAGTCATCATCACCATCAGTATCAACAAAAGCCAACCATTACTGCGTCACGGTCCGAGTTGCCACAACTCAAATCAGTACATCAAGTAAAAAGGCAGTCAGGTGCAAGATGAACATAAGAAAATTCAGTCAAAAGAAATACAAAGTACGAGAAGAAAGAATGAATGATTGACAAAATGGTGAGATTCGGTATAGCGTCGTTAAGATGAGGATAATGTGTGTATACATCTGCACCACTGTCATCGGTTCTCAGCCATGTCACCTAGAGTCTCCAACCACTGGTTCCTCTTGTCATTCAGACTCCAACCACCTAGCCTACATCGCCCCACATGGCTTAAACGAACAGTCAGAGACTTCATACATTGATGCCATGTTTTAGTTTGGCCACCTCGAGTCACTAGGGAGGGGCTGATCCTTCTTCTCAGGTAAGTGAAGTGCTTGACACACCCAAACACTACACTCACTCTCTATCGTTAGCCGCGGTACTGTTGAAGACCAATCCTGGAGCAACAATCTCCATTTGGGTGGTGAGAACCGCATCCCAAACATTCTCAAATTCCCACTCAGTATTCAGAAGACTCTGCATCTTCTCAGCGTCTTCACCTAACACGACTATGTCATTTGCATATTCTAGGTCTAACCAAAATTCTCCACCGATTAGGTCAACCTCTGTGTTGTCAGGTGACGACAGGGAGAATATCTATGATAAAATTGAATAAGAGTGGAGAGAGTGGACACCCTTGACGGACACCACTCCATGAGCACAGCCCCCCGGACATCTCACCATAGGCTCTAACATGCCCACAAGTGTTCGAGTAGACAGCCTTCAATAAGGTGATATACTTATTCGGCACACCTTTCACTGAGAAACATTGCCATAAGATTTCTCGATCAAGAGAGTCGAATGCCGCCGCCTTCAGGTCGAGAAATACACCTATTGTCGAGCGTCGTAAGCGTGTCTGTGTTCCAAAACCTGGCACAGTGCGAATATTTGATCAATACACCCACGACCGGGTCTAAGGCCTGCCTGCCTGCCTGCCTGCCTGCCTGCTTGGTTTTCTCGCGCTTGCTCTTCTCGAGCTCCACTCAGACGTTGAAGAATTATAGAACCTAGAATCTTAGACACTATGTTCATCAGGCTGATTCTTCTGTGGTCATCACAAGAGGACTTCTCGCCTTTCTTCAAGACTGAAATAATCAGTGATTCAGACCAGTCAGAGGGCATCGTATTTGATTCCTGTATTCTGGTTAACACTTCCATTAACCCGACTAACAGCATCTTACCACCATCCTTGTATACCTCACGAGTTAGTACATAGGGTCCTGCCTGCCGCCCTTCTTCGTTTCAGGTTACCTACAGCTTTCTCGATTTCTGCTAGTGTTGAGGGGCCTATCTCAATGTTCCATGGGGTTAAAAGTCTAAGTTTACCTAGTTTGACCTGAGCAAACAGGTAGTATAGTAGCGACAAACAACAAGGGTGACTCGCAATACAGTGCTTAAGCACAGGTGTATTATCTTCATCTATTTATCCACCCAAATCAAAATAGGAGCAGGCATTACTGTGTAACGGACCAAGTTGCCACAGCTAATATCATTGCATCAAGCGAAAAGGCAGTGAAGTTGAAGATGAAGATAAGAAAATTCAGCCACAAGAAATATGAAATACAAGAAGAAAGAAAGAAGAACGAGGAAATGGTGAGATTCGGTATAGCGTCGTTAAGATGAGGATTATGCGTGCATACATCTGCGCCATCGACATCGGTTCTGAGCCATGTCACCTACAGATTCCAACCACTTTTCCTCAACCTACTTTTAAGTTGTGCGCGCTCTTCATTGTACTCAGAGTCTGCAGGGAGGCGTTTACCTGCATCCATTATTTCGGAAAAACCTGCTGATATCCACCGCCTCCTCTTACCCACTCTCTCAGAGTCGGCTACGGTCTTCAACGATACTCTCACAGCAGACTGCAGATAGAACCAACCTTCTTCTGGATCACTTAAAGTCTTCTGTTCCCATAACTGCCTGGCCAACTTCTCACTGAACACGCCTTCGATGTTCTCGTTGTCCAGCAGCACTTCGTAGTGGTTTTCTTCCTAAATGTTTCCTACGTCCGTTGAGACGCAGGCATATACGCGCTCGGACCAACATGTAGTCGCTACCCAAACACTCCACTACTCCAGTAGGTCCGGCAGTCTCCCACCGATCCTCTTCAGAAATGACTAATGCCTATGTCGTCTATTTGTGTCCATCACTGGGTTGAGCTCGGTCGACGCCACGTCAGACAGTGTCTTTTCTTATGTCTGAAATTTGTGCCAGTTAAAACATAAGCGGTCATCTTAGCACAGTTGTAGTAGGCGACCACCATTATCTGTACGTTCAGCCGGAATTCCGAAAGTCCCACCTAAGTGCTTTTCTGTCTCACTCAGTCCACCCACCTGTGCCTTGAAATCACCTGCAACAACCACCACATCCGAACGTTTGGTTTTCGAGAGGGGCTAGACAGTTTTCTGTAGAACTCCTCCTTCACTGCATCCGAGCTGAAGTCAGTGGGTGCGTAAGCAGAGATTACAAAGGAACAGTAGCGAGTTTCATGGTTCCTTTTAGTTTTCACTGTACCATTCAGTCAGATAGCGCAGAGGTGACTATCAACTGGGATCCAGTCTAGTAGTGAGTTTTCTGTTGTTAGGTTAGTGGTGTAGATATGAACACATTTAAACTACGTCAAAAACCACATTTTAAGACAAGCAGAAACTTCAGATGAAATTAAAATACCTACGGTGTGAAGAACTTGAGGCACTCTTTGAAATGCCAATGTACACCATTGATTGGCATTCAACATGACGTAACACAAAGACTCTATAAGCTCTTTAGGTACCTTTGTGTGATATTTTATGTTCATTTCTATGGTTAATAAATCTATTTGCTGTTACTTTACGATGTGAGCGACGTTGATTCCTTGGGCTTTGACAATTTCCGTTTAATTACCCCCCTACTATTTTGTTTTCATCGGCAGAAAGTGAATAGTCAGTCACAGTATCCGTATGCTCATAAAATTCCGTTGAGCCGACATTTTAAAGAAATCTACGCACGATAAATGATCTCTGAAAGTGGGAATAATGTTGTTTTACAAGTAAAAAGTATTACAACAATATACCTGGAAGTCCAAAGCAAAACGTCGACTGCATGATTCTGATTCATGTTCCCGATCACCAGGATGTAACACTACAGTGTTCTCTGAATTTTTTTTAGGTTCAACCTGAAAAATAAGTATTACAAAGGTAAATGTAATACAACTAGATTTTGTTAACCGACAGGTATAATAAATATGAAATAAGGACAGGAACGTTCAGTGAAGAAAATGGTTTAGTCTCGCTTAAGGACATATCGGTATGTGTCGACAAGTTAACTTGCTGCTGTGGAGCTAATTACGTAGATGGAACAAAGCATACATTCTCCGAACATAGCTCGAACATTAATCCGCATGACTATCAAAACGCCAGTGTGGATCCAGGAGCAGCTTGATACTTGAGCCTATAAACAATTCAGGTCACCTACGTACACCGTACTCTTTTAAAGTAACCTAAAAAGTTCAACCGGACGGTTCAAAAAGAACATGATTCCTTAAGTCTACTGATGCCAGTCTAAACTCTGTGTTCAAAAGAATTACGTCCACTTTTCTCTCCTACTGTGGTCTTAGTAATAATACATTACTACGTAATTTCTCTGATTTTGGAAACTTTTTATTCTATTCTTCAACATTAAAGTGGTCTGGTTGATCAAATATAAACTGCTATTCGCTTTCAACACCTAATAGTACGATTGTACAAAATCGTTCAGGAAATTTTCTTCCTGAATTGTTTTTCGTCATTTTGGAATCTGAAACATACACCTCTTTCAGTATTAATTATGACGGTAAATCTACTAATATACCCACCCTTCTTGTTGCCAGATAACAATGCTGACCGACTAGAAAATAATATATTCAGTCAAATATAGAGGTTAACAATATAGTGAGATTAAATGCTCTTTAAAGATCATAAAAATAGATGGACCATAAGAAACATAAATGATACACGTGAAAAGACTGTTCTAATGAGTTTCACTTTCGTAGGGGTAGACAGAAGGTAAAGAAAAATCCTAATCCCATCAAGTCAAAATAAATTCGAAACATGATTATTGTTTAAGTTGGTAGACCGAGACACTACCATATCTTGAACGATTGACGTGAGAGTATGGGATGATGAGATTTCAAAGCATACTCTTGAGCTCAATGTAATGACGTTGACGTGATGATCAAGTCTATCTATCGCAATGAGGCGTCGAGTCAAACTGGCTGGAATGATTGTTCCCTGGTTCGCACTACGTCAAAGGGGTATCCGGGATAAAGGTAAAACTAAAGCTGTTACGCTGATTCCATAGTTAAGTAGGGAATGTAACAGCAGTGATATTTTCCCTGTGAATAACCAGTATTTCACGCTGATGCTACCCTCCCTTGTCAGAAGAAAGAGTTACAAAAGGCTGGGTCTAAAAATAGAACGCTCACCCCCTGCCCAACCGTCTTCAGGTCAAGGGGTACTGGTCGGTCCAGTGAGAATGGTCGATAATCATCATCAACCTTGTAGCAAATAAGAAACTTGTTTATTTACTAGGAGGATAACATAGTCCTAACTGTAAACCAATGAAGAAAAGTTTACTAGTCGTATTTGAAAGAGAAAAATTTGTATCTGAAGATCACCTTCTGTACACTACAAATAAAGTTGTTCATGAGAATCCTCAGGATCTATGAAAAATGTTTTGACTATGAATATAAGGTTATAACAGGTTATCCAATGATAGGCCACTACAGCTTATGTATTTCAATGCTTAGTGACCAGGATGATCCTCAGAAGTATATCACCACGGTTATCTAATGTTTCAAATCAATATACTATAAGAGTGCAAGAGATTTTGAATTGAAATGATGTAGCCAATGTACCGGTTGTTTAAGTACATGAAACCGAGTTTAAAAAAATTGAAAGTTTTCATACCGAAGAACAGAAATAGCACAGCACCAACTGCGAACTAGCATCAGCTGATAGACAGGAACTAGTGAATACAAGGACAAAGAAATACTTGAAACGACTTTCTAAACGATTAGATTATTCAAGTGAGGGAAGAGCAGATGTCTTCATCTCGAAACCAGGAGAGTGCTGTCTTTGTCATGACGAACATTATGATACCAAATAGAGTTAAATGAGAACTTCGAATCCCATTATTCGGATGTGTATACTAATTAGGTATCTTCGATTATCAACAGAATATATGGAATTAAACAAAAGCGTAGTATACATATAAATCTGTACTGATTGTTTTCATTAATTGTCTGATTTTCCTAATTTAACCACACTCACCTAGAAAAACTTACTGGGCATAGAGTAACTTCACTAGGACTTTTTATTAAAGTCAAGGTTTCCAGCTGTTTATCTGCCTGTCTCAATTTATGTACGCTGAACGGCTCACGCCAGCGTCTCACTCCAATATCTGTTACACTAATATTATTATCTGTCATTGGTAAACGATCTATTCGAGGTGAACTCAAAAGATCATGAGCTAATATTGAACCAACGCTATCGGCTACTACACAAACAGTGCCTGAAAAACCGATGCCTTCGGAGGAACGTAGAAATTCTGTATAATGAGTATTCAAATTAAATGCCAATTGTTCTAACATCTACAAAAGAATTAAAATTAAATAGAATTATTATTATCGTATTAAGGATTTATTTGTGGGGAAATAAAAGCCTATTACATAAAAGAAAACAAAACACGTTTAAAAAATAAAGTAACAATGCTAGTGAGTTGTAAGATTTTATGAACAAGCAGAACGTCAGAACATTCAGTGTGAAAAAATGTCACTCAGATGACTGATACGATAACGACACATAAGTGAAAGTATAACTGGCTTTATAATGTTCTGTTTAATGGTTTCATTTTTACTGCACTTGAATGAAATAAGCAATTTACATAGTGACAATTAATTGGATTATTTAAAAATTCAGGCAAGTGAATCAGGAATTTTCGGTTGGTACCAAAGTTGTTTTTTTCCATAAATTTTACGTTATACAGAGCTGATTACGTACTTTGGAACACCTTAAATGCACACAACTACAGTCCTTTCATCAAAGAATAAACCGTGAAAAGTATATGCTGTGAAGTAAACGTATAACAATATGGCATACTGAACAAAATTTTAATCGCTTATTTCAGATTCATGAAATCAACCAACAACCCCCAGTAATTGAGTTTTTTTCATTAATCAAGGGTAATTATGAATAATAAACTATAGAGATTAATGAAAAATGTATTCTATTTGAACTAGCATTCGGGTTCAATTCACTGACTACCTACGCATTTTTACAAAACATTATTCAAAAGGATGAGAGGCGATGAATAATGTTAAGCTCCGATTATAATATCAGGATTGGATATAAAAGATGTACAGAAACACTTGTTGATATTCCACCTGAGATTTCAATCCAGCAACATTCAGAAATGACTTAGTTCAAATGAAAGAGGTTAAAGCTTTCCTTTAGCAGTAAAATGCAAAACCATGAACAATTCTGAAGTGTTACTCTGTCATAGCTATTAACACAAAAGGCACATAGTAAGATTACTTCGTTCAAATTGATTCGAAATTATTAACACACTACAGGTTACTGAAAATGTCTTAAGTTATCTCCTCCACAACGATGCTCTTCCATACACCATAACTCGTACAGCAGCACCAGAGGAGAAATAAACGTAGGAGATAAGAAAGTAATAAGTATAAATTGTATAGCACTAGAAACTATGACTATAACGAACAACCATAAGTATTTCTTTCCATACATTCAAAACCTTGTGTAACACAACTCACATAGACCGATACTCTTGTGGGTTAAGTGATATCTTCAATCAGCCGTTAACTAGATTGACTTTTTTTTTACCTTCTGATTCTGTGAGACAGCGGTTAACTAGGTTAACAAAATACGCCAAATAGTTGATCTAGTTCCTAAAGACTTCATGCTTTATTTATCTCATTCGATCAATATGAACCATAACCTATTAATTGAAAACTTCCAGGTGTGACATAGTTCGGAGGTACTAGTAAACAAATATCAATATCCATCTGATTTTTTCGTTATAATAACCATATTGACGAGCTACCGAAATGAAAATAGTGCAAAACTCTTTACACGGTTGGACAACGCAACCAATGTTTCAGAACGATGAAGAAACCAAGTTTTCACTGTAACGCACATACGGTGCAGCATTTCCACTTCTCAGACTATCTAGCATATTACAACAATGATACACAATGAGACTTCAAAATGTGGGCGAAACAATATGTTAACAAAGCACAGTAAACGAAAGAGGCTATTTGGTTATCTGAAAGGCAGATGCATTAATAGAGGTGTAATAGCAGTTCTAAATGCCAATGAAAATAAAAGACGTTGGGTTCGTTGGATCCGTTTTCCCATTCAGGCGATGACTATGCAGCTCATATTCTCACTAACTGCTACTGGATGCAGAATAATGCAGAAACAAAGTGTAGAAAAAGATTTTTAACAATATATCACACTGACAGGACGATTTGTGGGTATAATTGCATGTATAAAGATAGGATGAAATAACCTTGAAATACTGGACTCCATATTTCGGAACACAGAGTGCTAATAAAGATATGAGCCAACATTGCATATTCTATCTGAAGATGCTACACGCAATTCAGATCCTAAAAGTATCAAAGCAGCACAAACCACGAAATATTTACAATCGAATCCTCCGGGATGATAAGGAGTCAAATTATATATATCCTGTTTAACAGACACTTAAATAGTTGAATACTTTTAGATTAGAATTTTAACTCATTTTCAGCCGCCAGTAATTAGCAATTTCTAATTATTGAATTACCCTGCTAACTACATAAAATTCAATGAAATGAAAATATAAAAAGGTCATAGCAGAATTAATCAATAAGGAAATACTTAGTATACATTTTCTTCAGAAACTCAATTATCACAGAAAGTGAAAGGTATCATGTATTAACTAAAGTTATGCATTTTTACGTACAGACATAATACTTTTTACTTTGGATGAGGTTCGTCTACTGAAAAATATGGGCCTTTCATTCCATTCGAGTAAATAATATAGCCTGGTTACTTGACCCTGCAACCCGGTTAAAAGTCAAGCGCGTACAATGATCAAAACGGCTCTCAAATAACGACAAAATGTGACTTATTGCTCAACTGTTTACTTATACATAGAGAGAAGTAGGAATACAAAAGCAATGCCTTCTTTGTCGTGAAATCAAATATCCAACCATCGAACATCATAAAGATGATTATTGATTCGAGAACTTTAAAGGCGGATACAGTGAAGGTAATAGAAAAAAGAAGAGAACACCTATTTGTTGACAGATAAGTAATAAAGTTATTGTTATTACTACTAACTAAACAGACAATTATGTCATCGAATACCACCGATGAAACTGTCAAGAATAGAGTGGACTACCAACATTATAAAACACAGCGTAATATTATGATACACAGTTAGTTAAAAAATCCAAATGACAACTCTAGGGCTAAATTTCATTTTTTTTAGCACTTGTTCAGAGAAGATTAATCATACGGGTGAAATAAGCGTTTGTACACAAAACTCTGTGCCAATGACATCTAACTATTTGAATCAAACCAACACACATACAAACTCCAAACTATATTCAGAAGCAAAAATAAATTACATCCATTATTAAAAAGCAAATGAAGTATTTAGCAAGCATTTAGAATATTAAATTACAGTGAAAACAATATCTGTAGAAAATTTCGGTTATAGTCTAATCAGGTAACAGTATTAGTATTGTCTAAATGAGTAACAAGAGACACAGAATAATGAACTTTCCCTTATCTACGCTTTGATGCAGTTATTATATAAAGGTGAACATATATATATATGTATACCGTGAATACGCATACAGATACACATGAAAAGAACAGTAATAATAAAGAAAACAAAAACAAAGAGTTATTGAAATATAAGAATTAGTAAAAGCGCTTACAAGAATATGGTGAACGAAGAACTAAATAAAAGGTTCAAAACAACCATGTTGATGATAAAACCAGTCTGTGGAATGCTAACTCGAATGATACCTAACGGTTTAAAGGTATATATATATATATATATATATATATATATATATATATATATATATATATATATATATATATATATATATAACATTGTATGGCGCATCAAGAATACTTTTAGTCTTATAAACACGGTAAACAGAGACTTAGAAGAAATAATGCTTGAGTACATATTCAAACCCGAAAGCATATACACGCAGAAGTATAAATTTTCCTTAACGAAGAAAAGATGTTATCAATCGCTATAATGATCAAAGTGGTGAAGAAGTAATGGGTCTGTCGAATGCTCATCACAATGATTCCAGTAGTCCTAGTTCAATTTTCCAACCCTAATACTTAAAATGTTGTTGTAAGAGGGATATATACAACAAAACAAACCTGTAGTAATTTGGTTCTTTCTATGTTTGTATTTTTACATAATTCCTAACTTCTTCTTAACTAAAAATTAAACTAACTTTCTGAAACTTTGCAGATGTCAGTTCCGAAAAAGTCGGTATAAACTATCGTTAGGAGTTACGTACACAGACTGTCATAACAGGTTGTTCTCAAAATAATTGGAAAGGAAACGCCACAATTTATTCTTATCTTATTGAGTTACTACCTAAAATTATGGAACCATTGTTTTCCAACATGCAATAGCTCAAATACAAATCCAACTACAATCAGTCGAATAGCATTACAAGCGTTACACAGATGCAGATGGATTTCAGTATCTGTTCAAACAGTATACAGTGATGAAATAGAAACATCAAGAATGCGTCAACTGAAGACTAAGGTCAGCTGATGAATGACAATACAACATATATTAAGAAGTTAAACAGGACAAATCGAAGTAAGAATACAACTTACTCGAGGATAACCAGGTGAATTGGTCAAAAACAGAGGAATACTCCCCAGAGGTATCAGATCACGTAACAGTTGAGTCTCAACAGGTCTATTAGGATCTGGCGAAGTTTTTAACCTAAACGGAGAATAAGTCAATAGGAAATCAGATGAATGAATTCTCGAAATATCTTAACTACTAATTTTTCGTTTCTGCGACTTAATTGCTGAAAACCGCATATTTAAAGAAGCATGAACATACTTGGAAAACAGATGGAATATATCACCGATTTCAGTAGGACATGGTACAAGTTTTATAGCTATTCGATTACTCAATGCTGGATAATGATTAGCAGTAACTATTTCAATTGTCTTCCGAAAAGTTAAGATATCTGAGCGCTTAGTAGTTAAATCATATGTTGAATCAAGGATACAACCTGGTAGGATAAAGAAAACAATACAGAACATAACTGATCATCAAAAGTAATGATTTAGCGTTTGAAAGTAATCAAAAATAGAAATAATTTCCGAAGACGAACCGTATGAAACGATTAGTCAGCAATCATTAAGAGCCTTAATATAAAAACTCTGTTGGGGAACGTGACAAACTAAAAGGGCAATTCCGATCGAAATGGAGATAGGAGGAAAGACCAGCTCACTAAGCTATACAATCGCATTTATATACAATATTTTTAGTGAGAACGTACAATTTGCTTGATATGAGAAAGCAGCTTGTTAGTGTTAAGCATGACAACCAGTAGGGTAATGCGTGAAAATGTAATCTACTCATCTACTCTGTGTGGCAAGCGATGAGCCATACCTATTGTGTGGGGGTTTGGGATACTACCTGGCTGCCCAAACCCCAGTAGATGGGGCAGGGCTCGAACTCACTACCCAATAGTTGGCAGACATCTTCCTTAACCACTGGGACACAGTTCCACAATGCGTCAAAAGTTCAAATATTTTCATCGCAAAATAACTTAAGTGTTTATGACTATTGGAGATTAATCAAAAAGCATAGCAACAAGCAAAAGTAAACTGGTCTAACCTCAAAACGTAGAGCTGCTTAGACTAGTAAGTATTACTTAAGATATCATAGAAATTTAGTAAAGATGATTACGCTTGAATAACGATTTGAGTGACATGACAAAATATTTATGAAACAGCTTTTATACATCAAGAAACTGTACATTAAATGCGATTTTACAGCTTATTAAGTGGAATTGGTGAACCACTCATTTTTATTTACTTGAATAGATTTATAGGGGAATGTTCACGAACAGGATAGACTAAAACATAAAATCAGTCCATGGATTCACTGATTGTCAGTCTAAGTTCTGTAGGTCTTCAATAAGTAAATTTCTGTTTAAGAACTTTGGTCTATGAATGAGAATATGTAAAAGGCACTCAGTTTCGCCGGTAACACAGAGGTCGCCAATTCAAGTCCTGTCCCAACTAGGCTTTTCACTTCACCAAATCATCTGAAGTAGTTACGGTCACAAATTATAGGTGGTATGTTTGAAATATAAAACAGTATGAAGAACTAAGACTGTGTAATAAGATTACTAGGCACTGAAAACCACTGAAACGAAAGAGAAACCACATAACTTTATTTTTTCAGACCTATAAAACTATCTCCGTAAAGTGATAACCTTCCTTCAAATTTCAAGCATGATATAACGGTAAGTGGCAAAGACCATCTATGTAATAACATATAATACCAAATACTCAATGATACTGGAAGTAGTATTCCAATATTATGACTCAGTTCATAAACAAAATATTTAGAGAAAACTGCTTAAAACGTTCAAAAAACTTTTCAGGAATAATGTGGAGAATTCGTCATCTCCACAAAAACCTAGTGTTCGTATTATTACACGAAAAATTTAAACCATAGGTAGATAGATAGATTATTATTATTATTATTATCCCTTGGGTTCCTAGAGGAACATAAGGCTTCAGCAGCACGTCTCCATTCCACTCTGTTCTCTGCAGTCATTTGAACCTGACTCCACGACTACCCACAACCTTTCATTTCTTCCTCACGTGATCTCCTTCGTTTCACTCTTGCTTCGGACGCCCAACTCGTCGTTTCCCACTCGAATTCCACTAGAGGGACTGGCGTGACGCATGATTTCCTCGAACGGTCTTCCCAGTGTATGCCCAATCCATCGCCACTTTCTTCTTCTGCACATTTGTTGGGCAATAGGTTCTTGATTGGTTCGTTGACAACCAGCCAGAGTTCCTTGTTCCTTATTCTTATTATTCTGACCATTCATCTGATCGATGTTCAGTATCGAGTGAGCGTAGGCGGTAGCCATTGATGAATGTCTGTAGTTTGTTGGAAGTGCTTTTCGTGATGCGTCAGTTCTCTGAACCATATAGAAGCACTGACTTGACATTGGTATTGAAAATCTGGATCTTGTTCACGCTTTATGCTGAGTGCAGTGCAGTAGATCTCCACACTGATTTCAGATTAATAAAGGAAGACCTGTCTTGCTGTCTTTCAGATCCTGGCTTTGATATCCTCATTTGTGCTTGTGCCGCCTGTAGTTGAAACAATGCTACCTAGCTAGGTGGGTAGGTTGAAAGATGTCCTTTGTAGTTTCATCCCTCAGTTCGATTTCTGTTCTAGATATTGAACTTGAACTGTGGTCCATCACCGACTTCGTTCAAGGCTTCCAACTTGATTTGGAAGGTTTCTTGCACTAGACATTGAGTGATGTGAACCTACATCTGCTCTCCTTCTTGATCCTATGTCCAGTAGGCTGCGTTTCCATTTTCTTCACATTGAGATGAAGTCGATCTGATTTTTAATCTGCCCATCTGGTGAAATCCATGTTGCTTTGTCAATATTCTTGTGTTTGTAGATACTATCTCGCCTCCAATCACCAAATTGTTGGATTCGCAGAAATCTGCAAACAGTTTTCCGTTTTCATTCATTTCACCAAGTGCTTCTCAATCCACGATGAGTTCTTTTCTTCTGTTGTCCGCATCCAGTTGTTTGGCATTCATGTCGCTCATTAGAATTTCGATGTTGCCAACCGAAATCTTATCCAGCACTGATTGCAGTTTTCTGTAGAATTCCTTTTTCTTCTCTCCGTCTCGTTATTTGTAGGTGCATAGCGTAGCATTGAATGATTGTGACTTTCCTTCCTTTTGATTTGAATCTTGCTGTCATAATTCTGCATGAAGAGATTGGTCCCCACTGCATGGGAGAGAGCCTTCGATGCTCTTGGAGACATCATGATAGCCCCTCCATAATTCAATGTGCTTGTGATTGTCGTCTGGATAACAATATCGGAGTAGATTATTGACTCTCCTCTCCAGTTGACAGTTTAGGGAGTCCACTTCCATTCCATCTGCTTTCGCAGATTCCCAGCCTAGCACTTCCATGTCATACCTCCTCATCTCTTTTGCAATTTGGGCAGCCTTGCCAGTCAGCTTCAAACATAGTGCGGATTATCCATGTCCCCATCCTTACTTTCGCTTTCATCGAAAGAAGAGAAGACAAATAGGCCAATTAGCTTCCCGAAGGCTTTCACCAACCGGCGTCATTTCGTCTCTTCGATTCCAGCGAGGAATAAGTTTATTTTTATTTCATATATTTTTCCGGAACTTTGAATTTTCTTTAGCGATTCGATTGGTTTTACGGGGTAGGGTTGCTAGCCTTATGCCCAATCTTCCCTTTGTTCAGGCTTATGACCGGCTAGTAAGTAGTGAACTAGTTAACCAGGCGATAGATAGATAGATAGATGGACATAATCAATCTGTCAGAGAAGTGCATTGGCTCAAGGCATCAAACCTCACACAAGCCTTTTTTCATCCCAACGCTACGTCATTCGACATTATACGATGAGGTGAAGGATCATTTGGGGTGCGTACCACATATGCAAGTCACCAAAATTGAAGGTTCATAACCCCATAGACTGCTTTGCCTAACTTCACCGGTGCTCTTCGCCTAAAATCCAGATTGCAACAATGGTAATTCAACCATACGTGCGCAATGTGGCGACAACAGTCAGTCAACATTATTGTAGGACCTGGCATTGTTACCACACTTGTTAACGACACACCAAAGTCAAATGTATCAAGAAAAACAGAAATAACGAATAAAGTAGTCAGCGGTAGAAAGTCATGAGAAGAGAAAAAGAAGGAATGAGGCAGTAGGGAAAATCATAACGATGGTTAAGACAAGGATAATATGTGGATCAGATGGATTCTGAATCATATCACCGAGTCTTCAACTATCTTTGGTCAGAAATCTGTGTTCTCTTTATTTCTCCAACTTGTAACAAATATCTCAACCGTACTATAGAGCAGAGCGAACTTCAGCGCAGCATACTTATGCTTTAACAGGTAGTTCAATATGTCACCGGCACTAAACCAGCATGTGTCCGAGATGAGATTTTGAGAGTCGAAAACCAAACAGGGCTGATGAAACTCATGTGAGTAAAGTAGTCAACACAATTCACTCCATATTCTCAAACTATGAGTAGTTACAGACTAGTGCTGGGGCATAATCTTACATTTGACAGGCGCGAAATGTATGCCAAATATACTCAGATTTCTGCTCAAAGCCTTCAAAAGACCACACCTTTTGTCAGCATCTTCACTTAGAAATATTTCGTCTGCATACTCCACGTCAACCACATGGCCTTCAGCGAGTAGATTAATCTCCGTGAAGTCAGACTTACAGAAGGTTATCGCCACTAAGACATCCATGAAGAAGTCGAACAGTAACGGTGACAGGGGGCATACCTGGTGGACACCACTTCTTGTCATAAATTCAGATGAAAACTATCCATAAGCGGTGGCGTGAGTTCCAGAAGAGCCTTGATTAACATAAAATACTTGCTCAACACTCCTTTCACAGTCAAGCACTGCTACAAAATGACACGGTCGACACGGTCAAATGCCCCCTTCAGATCAACAAGTACAGCAAGAGTCGGCGAATATCTGATCGATGATTCCTTGTCCAGATCGGAAACCTGCCTGCTTTGTCCAACTAAGGACTAAAGGATATTTGACACGATGTTCGTTGAGCTGATCTACGTAAAGGTAACACAAGAAGACTTATCTTCCTTCTCATATACTGGAATGATTAATCAAGTAGACCAATTCGACAGAACTACCTCCGTTACTCTAATCAGTAATTTCTCACCTCCTTCCTGAAACATTTCTGGTGGTAAACTACTGCTTCCAATAGTTCCACGTTTAATACGGCCTTTTCAACTTCAAAAAGAGTAGGAGGGTTAATATCTACGTCCCATTCAGGTTCAGACTGGATGCTGGGCTACTGAAGAAATTTACTCAGCGTTCTAGCCATCTGTCGTGGGAGGTTATCAGAGTCCCAACCTTTTCAGTGATAGCTTCACTAACCATCGTCTTCTTCTTGTCAGTATCATTCTTAATAAGCCTTAATGGTTAACAAATGGTGGGTGTTGCCCAACGCTGATGCCCTCCCTACCTCTCTCACTGTCGCCACTTACCACTGCTCATGACCATCGTGAAGACTACTGGTCAATTCACGTTTAAATTTATTTGCTCACCATAACGGTCAAAGCCAATCTTCTTGCATCAATCACTTCCGATGACGTTTTGGACATTCAAAGACGTTTGCTAACCTTCAGGTATAGGTTACTAACTGCTTTTACCACTGCTTCTACGGTAAACTTAACATTAGGCCAGGTTTTTTCAGGATGAACATTGCTGTCATGTTCAGAAAAATCCACAAAATACGTACATGGTGTTCTTATCTTCCAGGCGAGCATGCACAAAGTTAATTGTGGCATATTTCCTGCGATCAGTAAGGTGCAGACATACACGCCGCCATACTCACGTATGATCAGAATTCACATAGGTTCTCCAGAAGGAGTGGCAACCCTCCACCGATCCTCTCCAACCATGGCCTATACCAATGCGATCTACCTGTGTCCATCGTCGGTTTGATGTCAGTGGACGTCATATGAGACGGTGTCTCTCCTTATGCACAAACTTAGTGCTGATCAGAAACAAGTGATTGTCAGAACAAATTTGCAACAGACGACCACCGTTGTCCGGTTGTTGGCATGGGATTCCGTAAATACCACTAGATTTCTTTCCGGCTGACTCAGCTTCCCTACTTGGACGTTGAAGCCATCTACTTCTGCAACTGAATCTGAATGTCGTGTTCTATACAGCAAAGCTGACAGCTGTTGAGAGAATTCATCCTTTTTAGTATCCAAACTATAAACGATGGGTTCTCAGGTGGAAATTGCAATTAGGGATCGATGAATGTTGTCTTTTTCAGTTTCAAAACATTTATCTAGTCGGACAGTATACAGACGGCTGTTGACTGCTATCCAATTTAAAAACCCGCCTTCTGCTGCTCCACAGCTTAGTGCTAAACGTACACCACGTCAGTTAGGCGCTGAATCTCCGGACACTTATGAAGTGAATTTTGCAGACTCATTGCATTGGTCAGGAGAGATCATTTGAATAACCACACATGAATCGTGCATACATGTCATAGAAACACAGTATACAACATAATGTTCGGTAGCACTGTAGTAGTGCCACAGTTTCTGAGATCGCTGGTTCTTAGACAACATCATGCTGGTCACTCAGGAACTGACCGAATAAAATCAATCGCACGAAGTTTTGCTTTCTGACCCCAAAAGGATCAGCAGTTGGTTAGCTTTGTTTATCGCTGTCCACAATGTGAACAAGCAGTCAAAAACCCTCTTGAAATTCTTCCGGTACCATGAACGACACCCACACGTCCTTGGGAGAAAATACATCTTGATTTTGCTGGTTCGATTGATGGTATGTCTTATCTGGTTCTTGTGGATACATTTGCAAATTCGCCTAAGGTCGTATCTATTATTCCTACATCAACATCGTTGACATTACGGTGGTTATCGGATACTTCTAGCCATCAATGGCTTCCCGAAACTGTTATCATCGACAACGGTTCGCAGTTTAAATTCCATGAATTCGATAAATTCTGCCGCCAGTACGCTATCGCTCTTATCTTTGCACCACGATATTATAGACAGTCGAATGGGCAGGCAGGACGCTTAGTCTGCAGTTTCAAAAGGCATTTATTGAAAGCTTAAGGGGAAGGGACTTCAGTTGAAAATTTACAGCGGTTTCTATTCGTATACTGTGCTAGCCTAAACAAGTTTGCACCAAATCAACAGTCATCAACAGAATTACTGATGGAGTGTAGACTACGTACAATATGATGCTTAGAACTTCTACATCACCTTGTACTACAGCAAGTAATCCAAGAGCCTTATCAATAGGTCTGACCGTTTTTGTACGTAACTACCCACCATGACATGGCAACTAGGTTGGTGAGTTTATTATCCAATAACGTGGAAAGGTAATGTTCGAATGGAACGCGAAACCTGGACGCGTCATCACGACTAATTGCGGCCGCGAGAAACGATAAGAAAAGAACCAACGAATAATTTACTATTAGCTATGCTGGTGGATACATTCAAACCCCCACCAGCATCAGTGGACCGTCCACTTACACCAAAACTTCCTGAGAAGGTCAACTTACTTCCATAACGATGGAATGACAGTCGCCGCCGACCAATAGTGCCACTGCAGGTCAACATAAAAAGAATTCGTTATTGAATTCTTTAAAAAGGGGAGGTACTAGACATGCCTGTATCCCTCATATTCCACGCTTACAATTTGGATATATATATATATATATATATATATATATATATATATATATATATATATATATATATATATTTGAACTGCTTTCTTTGTGCTCTTTTTCCCGTACATGGGTCAAATTTCATATAACGCTCCAGCGTTCTGATTGACCCCCTGCCTTTTTAAATGTACTAATTATTCCTTATCTTTCAAGGTTACTGAAAACTCTTTATATAGGGTACGTTTTTACCCATAAAAATTTTCAGTTCGACATACTATAAACTCATTTGATTGCCAGTCTTTTGATTTCCTTTTGAGAATCACTCCAGTTGAAACCCTCAACCCTCGTCTATCAAGCGTTAACTAATATCGTTCGTTTTCACAACTCTGTATCGTAATACTCAAGCAACAAAAGTTCCAGTCAGCATAGCTGATTAAGCCATTCTGATACGCAAACCTGACCACTACTTCAACGTAGCAGCTATCAGTCGGGGAGGATAGTAATAATAATAATAATATTTGATTTCATTCTGATTTCCGACTTAACATTGCAGATAAGACATTGTAAAATTATTTCTTTTCTAGTTGATATGCCTAGATATCAACCACATTGCGAACATATTCACCATTCAGTTTCTAAATTTCATTTCTCTCCCGTTCACTGATGCCACTTCAGTAATTTTCCTCGCTAGACAAATGATCTCTTCTCTACAAGTGTGAAGCTTTTGCACTACGTTTTACGCTTTTGCTTTTCGGTTCTTACATATAAAAACAGTAATCTTATCAAAGTCGGTTCTGTTGCATTGGAATCGAATGAAGTCGGTAATTTCAGGAAATGAATCTGGCAGATACAATCGTTGAACTACCAGCATATAGATAAAGTTTGAGAAAAAAATGCTCAAACATCTGTGAATCAGTTCGAAACATTTATATTCTCAACAAACAGAATATGGTAGGTAATCGATTCCATCTAAAAAAAAAAGTACTTCCAATAGTTACCTCCATGAATCACCAATATAAGTATTAGCTTGTCCGTAGTTGGGAGAAGACCAGAGACTGGTTTTTGATTAGAACCTTTATGAGTGTACAAAACATAAAAAACACGTTATTCGACTTTTCCCCCTTTGAAAAAACATTTAATTATGTGTGAAAATACTCATTACAAATATATTTAAAATAAACTTCTCATGGTTATAATTAACAATATTAGTTTATTTTTTCTAAACAGATGTTCTTTATAATGAAATATCCCTTCGTAAGCCTTTAACCTAGACAACTAAACTGTCACGCAGTACTTCTGACAAGAATAGGTTCGGCTTTAAAGTTAGCTAGCCGGCTACGGCACTAACTGGTGTGATTTCAAATCTCCATAAAAAGATAAGTTGCTCTTGAGTTCCAGTCGTATGTTGCTGAAGAATGTTGAGAAGTGAGAAACCCCAAACTATAGGTGTGTGTGAACATCCAAAAGCATACATGCATTTTATCACCTTGCATCACGCACTAACATTGCAATTCTCGACTGCTGAACTTCAGTTAATACTTTAAATTTTAAAACAATTTAATTCACCGTCGAGTGACTGCTTCATACTAACACAGCTCAATTATCACGTGCAACGAATCACGTACTAAACTGTCAACAACAGAGAACACGTGTAAATGGTCGATACTACTAGAATACATAAATCCAGTAGAAGGAAGGAAATTTAACCTTATCCAGCTAGTGTTTGAGTGTGTAACTTAATAAAATAGCTTCATATTTTAAGGTAAGACACAACTGTCTGAAATCAAAGTTCGGAAAAGCGCAAATACTAACTTCATGCAACAATGTGAATACGAATTGGTTCTCATGATATAAAAGTCAAGTCTTCTTCAGAATATACGTAATTACAACCAATATGCAAAATAACACATGAATCTGAAATTCAAAAAACGTACATGTATAACATACAATTTTATCATAGGAACATATTTACAGGATAACCGTTAGAAACCTTCAATGCTCTTATTGTTTATTTAACTGCGACGATAACTTATAGAAAATGATGAATTACAATGTAGTAAAATAACGGATTATAACAGCTTTAAATAAATAACGTGACATAAATGCAGTCTAAAAACTAAATGATTTAATTTCAGCTAATTTATTCAAATATCTCTTTCATCTGTTCCAATCTGTATGGTAGCGGTCAGTTGAAATTACAAAAATCTTTCGAGTAAACATATGGTAAGAATTTTAGCTAACATCATAAATTTTACACCATATGAAAGTGGCATGCAAACATTGTGACTCACAAGATTTTACTTCCGAATTATCAAAACTTTGAAAATTTGAAGCTAATGGGGTGGCATAATCAGTATTCCCAGTAAGGTCACTACAGCATGTAACAAATGACTTGGCATCATCATCAGATTCTGTAAAAAACAAAAAACAGTTACAGAATTTATACGCAGCGTTATGTACGATAATAACGTCATCAGAAGGATGTTATGTGCTACAATTCAATAGGAGGATAGTTTTGAGCACAAGAATAGATAACAAGGTATAAAAACGCAAGGAAATGCATCCTTTTAAATGTCATATTCACAACAGCAAAAAAAACCAATGAGGACAAAAAGTGCTGAAGTTGACAAAGAATTAGCAGAAGAAGAGTAATAGCTACAATATGATATTACATTTCAGATTTAGAGATGAAGAGTGAAGCCACCTACAGGTGTGTGGGTTATTCTGGAACACGTTAAATGGGGTCTCCAAACCCTGGTTCTTATCAATTCAAAATGATCTCAGCCCAGTAGCCTATATTCTAATACAATACTCACAACAAATAGTCAGTGACTTAATAGTTTGTTGTAATAATTTGATCTACCCACCCAAAACTTTCTTCAAAACTGTTGTGATGCCCTAGTTTTGTATAAAACATCGTTATTGATCTGAACATTTTAACGTGTCATTCCGGTACCACTTTTACGGTATGACTAATATTCTATTTTTCTGCCCCCATTGTAATGTAAATCGCTAATTGGTTAATCTTTACTCTTACTATGCAAATGCCTCAAATTGAGGACAAGGTCATTTTTCATGTGTATACTTTATTCACGTGTTTCGGATTGATTCATTATATTCTCGGAGTAATACACTCTCCCATCTGCCAGCTTCGGTCTTCTCTCTATTCGTCCCGGGGTCGCAGTCAGTATCTCTTGCGTACCAAGTTAGCTGTCAGCTAAGCGTGCGTATTATATTCGTTCCGGAATATATATACATATACCATTAGCGTTCGGAACTATAACAAAAACAACTTTTTTCAGTCACTGTCGCACACTGAATCAGGTTATCATATGTCCTAGCCATCATATTTTAAAGGAATTCGAAACCTCAAAGAGTGACTAAACCTTTTGTCCAGAACACTAAGAACGTTACTAAACGCCATTCTTGCACAAGGCGTAACCAATGCAACGAAGATAATTAAGATCAAATAACCATAACCTTAACATGTTTTCTACTCCTGAAAGTCATGTCTAACAGTCGTAGTGCAAAATAGTGTGCATTATCGAGTAGTATTCTTGTTCTCTGATGTAGAGTCGCATTTTTACTCACCCCAGCCACAGATTTTTTATAATAACAAACTTTGAACGAGACTTGTGTATCTATACTGAGAGGTTTGGTTGTTTCGTACTGGGTGCACTAAGGATAAAGAAACTTCCCGAATGAGTGAAGCATTCAATCCGCTCACTTATTTTATTTCCCACAAGTAAACCAGCTTTCGGTGTATATCAATCCTAAAGTACATATAACGTCTAACAGGTGTAAAACTAAAAACCAGACATTTTCGGATTGACATTCAAGGTCCACAGATAAGTTGGTTTGAAACTATATTAGCAACTGATCAATTTACAAGACTTCCTAAATTCACACAGCTACCTTATAGATGTTTACGATAGTTCGGCAGTGCCAACGTTAAACTTCTTTTGAGAATAAATGCGAAATCGGTAGTAAATACTTCGAATTCCAATCAGTTCGTATTACAGCGCGACAGTTGTCTGCTATTAAATTTGATTATCTTCACTTTCTTCTGAGTAAGCTTCATGGCTCATGAGGTCTGAAGCAGTTCCTTTCTGCTATAAACCATGAGAAAATACAGACATACTATTCAAAAGACAGTTCGATGAGCACAGAATATTCTTTTCGATAACTTCTTCCTCAGGTTCCACACTTATATATCCATATTGTTTAGTCAGAAAATAAATGCATGTTTGCAACCATGAGAATTTATATTACTGCCAATCATTATTACAACTCCAAATAATCGATAATGTAGGTGATAAAATGATACTGGTTGATGGAAATACACTATCCGAGAGAGTTATCGATTCCAAAGCTCATCAAGGTAGGAGTAATGGCTGCATCTGTTTCTTCTGTATGCACAATTTAGGGTTGTTTAAGACGAATGGTTACAGTTTCTACAATTTGAAGTATTCGGTGTGTTGTAGCTTTTGGTAAGTTATTGGGGATACGGTAAGTGATAGAAAATGCTTGACAGATATTTGTTTCATGGTCTGTTTGAAATAAATGAGCTAATATTGACTCATTGTTTTCTCACTACAACTTTATTTAGCAGTGCTAGGTGTTCACGAGTACGAAAAGTGAAATTCCTAGTACATAAGACATAACTGGTTTCACATGAGCAGTTGAATTGACAAACGTGGACGAAGCTAAGAAAGTGCGTATGTCGACTCGTCGATGTATTTTTCTCATATGAAGTTCCTCATCAGCGATCTACTTGGTCTTTTTGATAGAACGTTCAAGAAGATTTTTTACTACGTGATTACTTCTTACATGATAGCTTTGCGCAATCAGCTAGTTTTATGAACAACTCAATGTAGTTGAACAGCCATAGAAAACTATGCTCGCCTTTCATTTATAGCCACTCTGAATTGTGAAAGATTACTGAGCTAACAGCGAAGAGACTGATCAAAACATACCTCTAGATAAGTATTCAATCTGAATAGAAGTCATGGAGATATACGTTAGTATGCATCAGCCTTGATAAGAAGCATCTTTAAAGAAAGATGACCAACAACATTCCAGTCAAAAAAAATAACGAACGACTTCAAAGATAAACGTTTAGTTTGTCGACTAGATTCGTTGATCAGAAGATGATGAAATCAATTTCTTATTTAGATGAATCACGTGTATTACTTATTCAAAAGAATCTTCAATAAACCTATGACAACATTTTTCAGACTGGTTACGTTTGATTCTCTGCTAGCGAATTGCACAAACCTCGTTTAACAAAGGATTATATGATATGTAAGTGAAATTATATTGTGAATATTGTAATGATAAGGCAAAAACTAACCTGTACATGGTGTAGTAAACGGTTCGAAGTCATCAAGTTCGAAACCGTTTGCCTCTAATTTCTTGAAATCGGCCCATAAATTTTGTTCTGTAAAAAAGAAAAAAAGTGAAGGACAACAATTATCAATTCTATTTACTTTTCCTCTTACAAACTTCATGTGTATTTGAATTTATTTTGAAGATGAGATGTAAGTTATGCGTATAAACAGAACTGAGATTAATTAGATGATAGTCATTTCAGTTAAAGGAGATATGAAAACAAATTTTTTTTAAAATCCTTTTGCAAGATAAATATTATGAGAAATTAAAACGCCATACTTCATCATACACTAGGAGTTACAGCATTAAAAACAGTGACATTTGTTAGGTAATACAAAGTGAAGCACATTTTCTAGCAAAGTTATATGATCACTAATAAAAAATTCATAATTTATAAAGATTATCATTTTATTTTGCTAGTGTTCATCTAATTTCAGAAAAAGATAGTGTAGAGAAATTTATTTCTAAAAAAAGAAAGAAAAACCAGTAAATACACTGTAAAATATGAGAAATAATTAAATTAGGAAAGTATTTCTTATCAGTTTACAAACGACTTTGGTGACCGGTTCAGATATAAGACAAGAAAATAACGAAAATACGATAGTTTGATTTTTCAATACATTGACCAATCATTTGATAACCTACTAAGACAAACATTTCAACTTGGATAATTATTATCATGATTGGTGGTTGTTTCTCACTATTCTAAGCATTCGTGATGCATGAAAACTTTGTTGCTGTGCCAATTCTGCATACAGTAAAATGACTGATAGTCTAGGAGTAGGATATTGGATCAAGAAGTCAAAGTACAAAACTTTATCTTAACACTGTCTAAGAATACCTTAACGGATTTTACGAGACTGAGTTTTTTTTTGACAAATATCATTTAATTATGTGAATGTTACAAATACAAAAGTACCTCCTTCAGAGACCTTTACAGCATACTTAAAATCATCACTACCATTGAAGTAGCACATACTTAATGAAAAGTTATCTGAAGATAGTTCTCACTGCAGTACATATAAATCAAAGCACACAATACTACTTTGGCCTTATTCTGTCAATTCTCCATAGCTGATACCTACAAAATCTCGAAAATCAAGACTGACATACGGCTATTATAACCAATCATTGTGACACACCAGTAGATACCTCAGTTGATTACAGAGGTTGAAATATTTAGTACAACCAGTTGCACATAGCATCACGATTAAGCAACGATGAAAATAGTCAGAATGTATTGCGAGTTGAAAGATTCTTGATAATTTTGAAAGCCCTTTCCTTGTTACATCATATAAAGTGGCATGCTTTACAATATAGAAATGCCTAACTCAAATGATCTTAATATATATCAAGAAAAAAATTATAAGGAAACCGTTAAATATAACTGAGAACAATTAAATAAAAATCTCAAATGAAAGAATGAGCAAATAACATGAATTTTTTTAATTGAAAAAGGAACATTTTGGACATTCATAAAAGGAATAATACGCACCGATGTACACCTTTCGCAAAGCAGAACAGTCTGACAAACCGTGAGTATCTCAGGCAGTCCCAATAACAAATTTAAATAATTAATGACTTATTTGTGAATTAGAATTAGCTTAGTGTAACAAACTTAATTCCAGTAACTTATCACAACTAAAACACAATGATGCTATAAAGCCCACATATTTAAGTGTTTACATAACTTTTATATCAATTACTGGCAGTTAGCATGGAAGGTATTCCTGTGCGTCAGAGTTTTCAGCGATAACAGTAACATGGGCAACAGAAATGCAACAACAAATAAAAATAACATAAATTCAAAAACTATAACATAAAGAAAATAAATACATCACCAATCACTTAAGTTTGATTATTTTATATTAAAGTGTTGACCAATTCGTCTAGTATCTGAAATGTATGTATGAAAAAGAAATACTTGATAAATAATATTTAATTAACTAACGCTAGGTTACTTTGATTCACACTTCCATCCAGTATGTCAGTAATCAATAATAACACGAACCTACTTCGCGGTTCATTGGAGTAGACAGTCAACTTTCAACCAGTGGGCTACATGTTTTAACCCTGCTTCATTTACTAAAGTCTAAACAGCTAAGCAATATGATAAACCTTTATACAGTAAGTGTAGTTCACTGTCTAGTGCACCAGCTTGCACGTGGTTGTTGAGTTGCACTATTCTTTTAAACTGTGGTCACAAAACTGATGTTTCAAGCAGATATACGCCCAGTAGCCACCGAAGCCTAAATGAGTGTAGTACTTCTGAGACGTTTGGCTTAACAATATCACTTACACAATTGGATGGGATGGATTCCGCATGGAAAAAGAGTAAAAATTAACTATCTGGTATATTTTTTAAACTAACTTTAAAAGCAGTATGTTTATTTTAAATATGTTTGTAATGGATGTTTATATACAATGATGTTACTTAATTTTGGGAATATTTCAGGCTAGATTAAGTAACACCATATTCATTACAAATACATTTATAATAAACTGATTCTCTCCACAATCCACATACGTTTTAATGAATATAGGCAGTATGTTGATAATTACTTATTTTTAAACTACACACAGAATTTTCTGCTATCATAAGCTATCTATTCAAAATTTATTGGAAAAACTCTTTGCAATCACTACGGCTTTTTCTGAAACAGATGAGTAATTTCGTGAACTTATTTAACACTTTCATGAAGTACAGTATGTCCCTCGTAACTTTACCGACATGTCTGCTACAAGGCTCTTTGCACTAATTTACATTACACCCATTTTAATATTCAGACTTATAAGAAACAGATAATCATTTCACTGTAATTAGCTTGAGTTTCACTGACCACCTTAAGAAATCTTTAGAAATGAATACCTTAATGTAACAAGAACTAACCAGTGACGGTCATAATGAAGGCAAGATATTTGGAATGATGCACCAACTACTCATATATATATATATATATATATATATATATATATATATAAAATTAAAGGTAAGGACAAAACCAATTGTGGAGTATACAGAGACCATGTGGAAAACTTTCCAGTAGAGAAATAAAATCTTTATGACAAAACATCTACACTTCAAATTCGAGTAAAAGGTAACCAAATATCATGACATTTTACACAGAAAACAAAAAAGCTTCCAGTTGTAGAAGAAATACAATTTATCAATACTAACTTCATTGGATTCCCTAATATTATCCTGCAGTACAATTAAAGTAGTTCGGGACTATATGCAATAAAAGAGCAAACGTATCCACTCCGATTTTAGTATTAGTAAATACAGTAACAAATATTTAGTGATATCCAACTTTTGGGCTGTAAGTATTGGTTGAGGCACTTAATCTTTAACCAACATGCGACGAATTCGAATGTCCCTACACTCACGGAAGTTAAAACCAAGACGTTGTATAATCATTAGGCATCATACAACGTCTGGTTTTAAATCTATATATCATTGCAGAGTCATGAGATGTATGTTGAAAGGAATCTAGAAGTAGTGAGTAGTGATGAAATCTAGAATGTAGATCTTATTTAACCCTAGTTAAATTAAATTCACGTACCGACGAAGACCCACGATTCCTCTGTACGTAAAGTGTGGTAACTTGAATAGATGAATAGTAATAATGACTAGAAACAATGGGCTTTTGTGAAATTCCAACGATTGTTGCGATCACGGGCAGTATAATCCTGACCGAGATATTATCAAGAAATTAATTATTTTATCAGTATGTGGAAACATTTATTTTAGTTATTTACAATAAACTGATTCATTCCACATTGTAAAAACACTTCACACATTCAACTTCTGTAATGTTTAGCTGGAAATTAACAAGAGCAGTTTCCATACACATACCTAACCATTGTACACTACATGAACAAACCTGGGGAAAGTAAATTTCACCCTACTATACGTACTTTGAAACCACGTTGAAATTACAGTTGACGTTTTCGACAAAAAAACTGATAGAATACACAAAATATGGTGTACATCCTAGTTTCACTATACTAAGTGCAGTGAAACAGTATACTGAATGAAAACTATATTCTGCAAAACCAACTGACGTTTTAATTTGGTATGAAATCGATGAGTATTATGCGAAAGAAAACATAAAACACAACGAAAAAACAACATACAAACAATAGATATACATGCATTATATTGTAATACAACGAAAGTAATTTTACACTACATAAACTGTTAAACAAAAAAGTATGTCATGAACATCCCAGACAATTAATTACACATGCAAGTTACAACAACTTGACAGTAATTTTATGCATACAAAAAAATTACGATAAGATTCTTATAACATTATATTTGGTATGAAAGTATCAAAATGCATTAACACACACAAATAAATGTACTCGGTTTAGACGCAACAGTTATTGTGTGCAATGCGCAATAAATAAAACAATATTTAGCAGAAAGGTAAACAGCATAAAAAATATCTTTGTATTAACTGTAAACAATGACAAGAAGAACATATGGATAATCATAGAAATATGGAACTTTAATTCATCACGATGATAAGCGACAATGACAAAAGTAATGAAGAGAAACAGTTGAAAGCTGCAAACGTCAGGTCGCAGGTTTTAGGTTCATAGTTGTTTTTTTCGGAGCGATTAAATTGCTTTTACTACTAGCATAATTTTTAAGTGAAAATCTATAGTACTCTTATGATAACAAACCCAGGGGTACATTTTTTTATATTTTCCCTATTTTTAAAGATATACCTGTATATATAAATAAGTAACTGTAAGGATTAAGGCGAATTAACAAGGATTTTAGTTCATATTTCACTGTCAGTTTTTTTCTCTAGAATACCCTTAATCTTGCCAATATGACTAGTACTACTAATCCTTTCATCATAATAACAAAAATAAAAGTCAATATTACTAGCTTACATATGCCCTCTTTCTTCTCAATCTTTTAAACATCCATTGGATGATTACAATAACAACTGATAAGGATAATAAACGTCAACTAAAAAGAAGGAGGACACGGAGTATATACATACAATATAGATACAGACAAAGAGATATATATATATATATAAAGATTATGTAACTTTAGCTGGGTGAACAGCTTTGAGACAAATCCGCACCTGCATTATCAGCTGAATCAGATGTAATAGGATATTCTCTTGACGGAGATAGATTAGTGGTGACTGAATTGAGTTCATAGCTCTGAAAAAATACAAGTGAATATGATGAATTGAAAACAAAAAACGATTTTTAATGCATATAGAACAGTAAATGACATAAAAATGAAAACAAATCATGGCCGACGTAAAAAATACCCCAAAATAGAGAATATCGTACTTTAAATTCTAGTGTCACCTGATAAACAGCATCCTGAGTGTAAAGTTACCTCTCTGAGCAAATGAAATAATGATGATACTTGATATGGAATACTTCTCAAACGAAATCCCCCTTAATACAGCAGCTAGATTTAAAACATCAAAGTCGCAAAACTAAAAAGTATGCCAATTAATTGAACTGATCAATAACAGTGAGAGGATGTCAAACAGAATCGTTACCACATCGAACAACGGACAGATCCAATAAAGAGCTGATCAATTAAGATACTAAGAATCTTACACAAAATTGTGGAAGAATAAAATCTTAACCAGAGAATCACAAGCCCAGTTAACGGTTAATAAAGCACTAAAATACCTATGAATATTCATAGCATAATTGTTACGAATGCCCTGGAAGGATAAGAACGCTTAGTATGGTCCAGTCATTATAATACACCTGAGAATATAAAGATAAATTCTTATAATGACACTTATATGTTCCCAACTAAAGTTACCAACATTTAAAGTGGAGCAGGAAAGTAGTACTGTAACTGTTTAACTGAAGACTAAAAGAAGTTTATGGTGTGATTCAGGTTAAAGTATGCATTACGATACGATGCAGTTAGGCGGACAAAAAAACGAAATTAGGGTACCGGTATGTCCGATTTCGAACTCAACCACTAGTAAGTAAGAATTAAGACAATGTATAAAATGGTTCACCCTTGTGATTTACTTAATGGTGGCCAACAGTAGAATACAGAACGTGCGTTTCGTCCTATTTCGGACTCGCCAGTCAAATGTACCTGCACCCCAGTGAGTGATGGTGTACCTACTCAGACCCGAACCCTCACCCGCACCCACTACTTCAAGCGCCAAAGCGTCACCAACTATGGTATTAAAGCATGAAAGCCACCTCTTGTGCGACCAGTATTAGTCATTATAATTTGTTGACACTTGTAATATTCGGTTATGTTGAATCAAATTGATCAATATCTGTTAGCATATGAGATCCTACGCGGATGCCTCAATATTGCCTGAATATTCACTGATCTTGTACCACAGTAGCCTAATAGATAATGGTTTGGTATCTGATGTGAGGGGTGCGGGGTTTGAGCCTCGGTAAAAACACCGTTACTCAATGGGATCCAGGCATATCCAGCTGACGAATCCCAGATGGGACAAAACGTACTTCCTGGACTCCACTGTTAACTAACACCACGTAAATTATAACAATGAATATACAGGCAATATCGAGGCATCTACATAGGAGCCCATATGTGCCAACAGAGGCCGATTAATTTGATTCAGTATGAGAAGGGGAAATTACAAGTATAAACAAATGATAAAGCATGAGGCAATTTTACGCGTTTACTGCTGCGCTGAACTCATGATGAATAGGACGAAAACTGGTACGCGTATGTAGGGTTTTCTGCGGTGAACATATGCATCAGTTATTTGGGGAGTCAAATTCGAGGTTTCATAGCTCTTCGGATTTCCTCAAACGGGGTAAATGGAAATATTCAATTTCGCCCGGGGCGGAATCTTCACCAAACAGTTGCACTTTCCAATAGTTTATACGCAATTAAGATAAATCAATCCCAGGAAAAATAAGCCTAGGACAAGCTTCATAGACACATTTGCAAGCACATGGAAGTGTGTCAGCTATATGATGGTAATTCCCGATACTTCAAAGTATACGGATTACAAAAAAACCAACCTATTCAAAAGGTTTATAAATGAATCTTATTTGCATCAAGTTTTGAAAATCGCTACACTAATTGCATCCAACACAATGCAGCTTTTCGAATGTACAAAAATATAACTTCGAAGAACTCAATCAACTCCATAAGCAATCTTAATATGTTAACTAATATTGTACAGTAAAGATGTTAGGTAATATAAGATTATTAAAATGGCACAAGGTAATTTGTTAACGACAATTTTAAAAAATTATTTTTAAATTATGTAGTAAAATGCCCAACTAACTTCAAGAGACTGAGATTTTTTCCCAACAGTATTAGCATTCACATCAGTAATTGTTGAAGCTGACTGAACTTGACTGGATGATTGGTCTTTAGTGTCTACAAGGTGATCTGAATCGGCCATCTTAGTCGCTAGTGCTTGAGCTGTTTCCTGTTCCAAACGACGTATCTCGTCTATTGTAAGACCATACCATTCATCTTGCCATGCCCATACTTGTCGGTGGGCTCGCAGCATAGTTTTTCGAAGTGCTGGAGTGTAAAAAATCAGAGATATGTTAACTCAGGAAAATAGAACATTTCAATTACTACAGTGTGCAAGATGATTCCAGTACGAGAAAAATCACCTAAATAAGTGGTCAACCTACAAACATTAAATGTATGGCAAAGAGTACACATGCAACAAAAAGATCCCTCACATACTTTCTTCAAGTTATCTGCATGCATACATAGCATTTTAAACTATGACTAATGTAACCCGCGGTAGGTTGTTATTATTATGAAACAGGAGTTAGTCGTAAAGTTCATCTTTAATCCAGAGATGAATCGTCAATTTAGGCCCTTTCAACCAGAGAATTTAGGGTTCGAGTTGACCCTGTATTAATAATATGAATCTGAATTATATATTTTCAATGGTGAGGCAGGCACAAAGAAGTTATAGTCATATGAAGCATCTTAGGTAAATGAAACGCAAATAAGCAATCACGTGCAAGTTCATATATTAGGCTGAACCATATGAAATGGCTGACGCCCAAATACATTACCTAGTTACTGAAACCACTGTAGGTAGAAAATACTATGAACCTGGGATCTGTAAGTGTCTTACAAATTAGATACTTGAAAATACACATCAGAATTTATTAACCTAAGAAATTATCAATCACCTGAATCACAACAGGAAGTCAAACAGTACTTAGAAATTCCAAGTTCTCATTTCAAACATGAATAAGTTCTGAACTATGTAAAATGATGAAATTAGTCTTAAGCTTCTACAACGAAGAAATGTCCATTTGGCATAATTCTACCATTTTAACAATATTCCGACTCATTTCTCAAAAATGTTACAGTGTACTAACATTAGCAATCAACCTGCTAATCATAAGTCAATATAAAGTGAATGAATGTAGTGGTAAAACGTAGTGATATAGTTCTTATGAATACTTTGCAGACTCAGAATGTAAGTAAAGCGAGATTTATTGCTATATTTTATCAGAACCACAAAACACGCGAATGATTGACAGGTAAAATATCCGAAATTCTGGGAAACGTCATGCAGTACCACTATGTCTGAATAATATTAATCTATTATATCGAAAAGCAGTGAAATTCATTCACATTTACACCGTGAATAACTAATAATTAAAGTCAGGAAATAGTACTTGCCACTCAATAATTAATCATATTGTCACGTAAATAGCACAAAAAGAAAGAAATGATATTATAATTTTAAGTAACAGTAAGTGAATAACACATACACACACACACCAGTATCATGAATAAATTGTTCCACCCGTGTTTGAGTACCCCAATATCGGAATTCTACTCGGCAGAGTTTATACGCACACATAATATGTTTGTGCAATGGTTTTAGAACTTCAGTAACTGGTGTATTGTCATGATTTTTACTTGGTGGCTTTTCATATGCTTCATGAGTTACATTTTGAGCATGCATAAATTCCTCACGCCAATTAGGAGATAATGGACCACGACCAGTAGCTTGTGATACATATGTAGTTGGATCTTCTTCCGGTTTGTAATCGTTCCCAGTAATTGGATCTTTTACAATATCAATAAAGTCTACCAAAAGAATTGAATAACATGTTAACAACAGTATATCATTTTAGAGAACCTGAAAATAAAAGTAACCGTAGTACAAGGTGTGAATAATCACATCACTCTGACAACAAACGTTTGTCGATGAATGAAAAACGCGTAAGACTGGGTTTGCTCAAAATACACAAAGTGTGGAATAAATTATCTTCAATCGCATTCTATATCCAATCAGACAACCACTGCCTACACTCAGACATATGGGTCGAGACAAAATACAAAAACATAAACTGCTACAGATAATAACTACTGATCCTTTCTTTTAACGAACAATAACCGGAAATTAATTAAGTTGATTCTATTACCAACTTCCTGTCCTTTAGTTTGAAACCATATGCGAAGAAATTAGACAAGAGTCAATGTTTGCTTTACTAATTAAAATTTTATCCTACTTACAGAAAATAAATGTCAAAAAAGTAGTAAATACAAGTGTAGTTATTGTAAGAAATAATTTATTACTAACAGTAGCTAATCTAATCAACCCTAAGTTTTATAATGTTGCTTGTATCAATGATATAAATGATAGCACTAACAACACTAATACGCTTAACTTTCTTGCCCTGAATGGTATTACCCTAGAGTTACGAAATTGCTCACGTTAACATTTCTCAGTAATTCGAAACACATCGCACATCGTTTATTTCATGATGTCATAAACAACGATCTTTTTACACCGTCAAATTATTTGAATGTTACAAGAAGATACTCAATATGAAAGTTACTGCAATAAAATTCATAAAATGAATTTAAGTCTTTAAACGGTGTTATGCTAAATAACAGTTGCAGTTTTATATTCATATTAAAGTAACAGAATACCCATCTTGTATATTTTAACAAGCGAACTCATACAAAAAGATATCCATGAAAAATTATTTGAAGTATCAACAAAAAGTACGTTTAGAAAAATGAAAGATGAGTTAGATCTCCAGAAACTACTTAACATTTTCGTAGGATTTCTTTTATTAAGACTGTTTCATAGCATCCTAGAACGGTAGAAGATAAAACATTAGCCAATAGTATCCGCTTAGGTTAGTTGGCAGCTAAACCCATCGTCACTACGCTGTCGTAGCGAAAGTAGGGCACCAATACAAGAACTATGACCAGTGATAACAAAAGTGTAAACACAAAAAACCGATTTGTCATTCTAATTTCTAATTAATTTCCCTAAAACTTACCAACGATGCGTGCCTTTTTCTCCTCAACTGAAAGTTTAAACACATCCTCCTGTTCTCCACCATCATCATAGAAATAAGTTTCCACATCAAGTACTAGCTTTTCAACAAACGGAACTTTATAGATTGTTCTGGTATAAGGATAGGCATTCCAAGCTTCTTCTTCAACACGCAAAGCTGATGATGGCAATATGTTGCGAATCCAGGCTGCAGTTTACAACACGAAAAAGTAGTAGAAAGAGTGAAAATCGAATAAATTCGTAAATGAAACTAAGCTTGTCGTCTTCTTACGCTTAGTGTGGATCATAATGTGCTTAGAAACAGTATCGACATTCGGCATGACAACCCCTTTTGTGCTACCTAGCATTTTCTATCAATCAAACCTGAATTCGAAAAATCATGTTCTCGCACGCAACAGAAATGGGTGAACGCAACACTGTGGTTTCCTCGATATCATTTGCTTGGAAATCCGACCACGCCCTGCATTGGAAATTCACGTTGCCTTTCACTCGTTACGAAACCACAACAGAAAGATGGTGAAAAACAGTTGTACCCCGTTTTAGAAATAGGTTTCCAGCAATCAGTCACTATTCACATGGGACTTTACATTACTGCATAACGGTTTAAGCTATCATACCTCAAATAAGCGCGTCGAATTACAAGACACAAAGATGAAAGACAGAGAAATGGGGAATGATCTTCTTGTATATCTCTTACATCGATTTAAGCACACATACGTGTGGTCACTATCCAAGAAAGTGCTTCTGGAAGTGACAAATTTTCATCAACTGTCTTCAACAAAAGCTGACAGCGTTATGATTTGTCTGTGTTGAGTTGACATCCGTAAATACCATGTCAGACAGAGTTAAGATCCATGCTGCTTAGAAATAATTTGTGGTCATCTGTCAACTGGACACTAGTCGATAAGTTTGTTTTGTCTTAGGAATTACTGCAATACTTACATCTGCAAAACTACGAAGGCTAGTCGAGATGTCTCAAAACAGTCGAAGGGCTAATTTCGCAGATTTAACAGGTAAACCAAGTGAGGTTAAATGAATAATCCAACTCACTCGCGTATAAGGGTCTCACAAACACAATATATGTCCATGGCTCTAGATACCAGAGTATTGGCTAGCGAAGCTTACTTTCCGATCTGATGAAGAGTGTAGACGATAAAAAGTCTATGCATTTTCAAGAAACTAAGGATACTATTTTGTGAACTCAAAAGGCTATCATAGGAAGAACAGGAAGAAATTAATGGTGACATAGGATTATTGACAAATTTAAAATATTCAGAGGTATGGAAAGTTGGTGATGATCATAAGGAACTTGAATGGTGACAGAGTTGTGGCAACAGTTGATATTTTCAACTGGTCATATCTTGGAAGGTTACTTCTTCTTGAAGTACCTGAAAAAGAAAGTGGACTAATAAGAGTGATCATTAGGACGTAGGTGAGTTATGGTTGAGCTCAAGATGCATCTGCTTGATACAAATCGTAGACGGTCTTTAACACAATTTTCGGACAAAAAGCATATCACCGGCACTTGATGACCGCGGGGCATGGAGTGCGTTATTTTTAGGACGGACCTTTCTTAATTCCAACTTTCGACAAGGGAAGACAACATCAGCTGGGAATGCTGGTTATTCAAGGAAAATGTTTTGATTCTATCAGGCTTTGCACAAACAAGAGTATGACTTTATCTTGGGACCCCCACAATAGTGTAAGTTATTGACACTACGATGGTAATTGCATTTAGTCACACCACTACCAAGTAGGCGTTTCTGACATGATAGGATTTGAATGAACTAACAGATCAACCAGCATAAGTTGTAAAATCCTTGTGGTGTGCAAGGCCAACCAACACGTTTATATAGCAGCTATCGGTCGACACAGATTCAAAACTGGCAAACCTCCAGAAAGTATAGATGAGCATTTGGCTGCAAGATGCTTTGAAAATGGCAATTAAAGATGCTTTCCGCTCCAAAGAACGTCGCGCCAATAGACACAGACTCTGTGAGCTGGCTGCAAGTTATTTACGCGGGTTAATATGCTGCTGCAAATAACCAGTAAAATGGTATGCAGAACTCCCTTATGTGATAAACCATACATAATTTAAGTAGGAAATACAAGGCTGGTGGTTCAAATGCGTGAGTGCAATGAAAGGAACAATACCAGAAGGTTGTTTAAATCCGAGATACTGTAGATAAGAAGCCTGATGTCAATTTGTGAGGTAGATAACACATCAATCAACAGTCCTCAAAAAAGCCTGGAACGCTAATCTGCAACTTGAGCAACTTCAACTACAGTTTACTATGCCGCATAACCAATCAGGTGACCTATCCAGTGCTTAGGCGCCAGAAGGAACTCAATCCCCGACTACATTTCATCATGGAGGCGGAACTGTAGTTAAGGAGCTAGTCAGGCTGGTTAAGAAGATATGATAAACTGAGAATTCTCCCACGTAAGAATGGTAAGAAAAAACTGTTAGGGTAGGACGGCCAGAATAAGTGTTACATCTTTTAAGCCCTATATAAAAAACCTCAGTTAAAGTAGAGCCATAGAATCACCTTTGTACGATGTTTCAGACAACCAGTAAGATGAGAAATTCCCTAATTGTACTATGCTTTCTCAACTTTTCCATCGATAACACTCTCAAAACATGTGGTGTATAACTGTTACTAATAGAATTATGTAACGACCTACAATGTATGGACGATACTGACTATGCAGTAATATAAACCTTACATATTTTGTCGATCAGTGTTTATAGGCACAGTATGTACTCGACGCCAGTGAAGTACAAACTGCTTTCACACTATCCGCAAGTGTCCGAGAGGTGAACTATTGGAAGCAGTCTAGAAGCTTGTCTACATAGGTAGTTATGTGTGCAAGTGACGTGTTGTTTGAGAATTATAATCATATATTGCTAGTCAGAGAAGTACATAACGATTCAGATCATCTTTGACGCCGTTGGGATACTAGTTTGGATACATTGAGTCAGTCGCAGAAGCTTCAGTTTGAGTAGTTTTATTCTACGTCAGTAAAAGAAGATTGTATTCGATCACTTCTGTTTGCTTAAGGACTGTTTACACCCAGTGGGGACATGAATTTAGTAACTCTTAAGTCCAGTGGTGCCTGCTCACGCATGATGAAGATATTCATCATGGACTGACATCATTTGGAGAAACATTAGAAACCTGAGAGGACTAGGCAGCTGTTTCGTCTTAGTATGGGACTCCTCAGTAGTGCGCACCCATGACCTCGCCAGAAACTAAGGTAATGGGTTCGATTCCTGGCAGGGTCATGGGTGCGCACTACTGAAGAGCCCCATAATGGGACGAAACGGTTATCTAGTGCTCTCAGGTTTCCAATGTTCCTCTAACTGATGACAGTCCATGATGAATACCAACCTGAAATCAATAAATCCCCAAACCCCCTCCCCACATTGAATGAAGGTGACCAATCACTGAGAGGAGACATTTTAAAACACCTCCCTCAATAGCTCAGATTTTTTACAAATGTCATTATAATAGTTCCCACAACGCTAACTGTTTCTAACTCTCGGGATCGGTAGAAAAAAAGTAGAGGTGGTTAGTGTGTGGTGTGATGGTGTGGGATGAAGGATATTCATATAGCATTAGTATGTGTCAGTCCATTAAAACTGCGTCGGCAGTCTGAGAGATCCTCATAACTCAGTGACTCGAAATGGAAATCAACGAAAATTATGCTATGACTTTCTTTATTTTTCTGGCATCAACAAGTAAACAGAAAGTAATGAATGGTTCTTTGAATGTATCTAATGAGACCGATTTTTTGATAACTTCCTTACTTTCCAGCTTTTCTTTTTGTTCCCTTCCCTTTACATTACTTTTGCAGCTTCGTAGTGTGTGGTACATTTGGATTACACTGAAAGGGTTTAGAGTGCCCATACTAAGATGTAGCATCTTTCCATGAAATCCTAGACTATTGGTCTCAGACGTGTCAGGAGATGTACACTATCTGGTTGAGGTCCCAAGGACGAAAGGAATCAGTGGTTAACTCTTGGTGACACGACTGAACATCAATCGGTCACAATGGCGTAGATGCATTCACTCCTTGACATCTTCTAAAGCTTGAATACTTGTACTAGCCGTTTTCTTTAGATTGCTTATTCTCTCACAAAACTTTGTCTACTTTGATATCACTTGTTTTCTATCCACCCATTTTTGTATACTACTGTGAAGTGTGGCAACTTGAACCAATGGACTTTTGTGTAAGGTTCTACGTTGACCCCGTCTGTCTGTCTGGTGCATTTCTCAGTACATATGCTATAATAAGTTTGCATTGCAAACTAACATATGTATCTCAAATAACGCTGCTTTTTTGTTAACTTCGTGAAATGATGACAGGTTATAAAACTGCTATAAGTATAGGCATTGTAATTATAACCTAACAGATAGTCTTCTTCATCACGGCGTTTGTTTAGCAGCATTCAATAAAATAACCATTGGAGCAGTCATCAAGCCTGGTGAAACGTATGTAATCAAATATCATATGAATCAGGGGACAACAGTAAACCATAATGTCGAGGCGTACACGCCCTATGCCACACCAGTGATGTACCTAATTACGCTAAAAATCCGATAGGTGTAAAAGTTACCAAGAGATCATAAAGATTGGCCATATCATTACCAATAGGAATCAATTTAACTGCCCCAGAAAAAAGAAATGTAAGGAACAACAGTGACAAATTAATGCATTCTCGAGTGTCGGGTAACATTTAAATCAACCAACTCGACAATCGATTCGAGAGTTATTACTGTGATGCTTCTTAATGCACCTCTTTTCTATACAAACTTATGCATTAACAGCTTTACAACGCGACATAATTCATAGTAGTTATATCAGAAGTAATGATATATTGGTTGATATTTGATTACAACAGAGCAAAAAGGAGAACAATATCTACAAATAAACGGACTGTAACTTTAAGCCGTAATAAAGTCTTTTCGCAAACATTTAAACTTTATTCTGAGTTATTTCGTCCGAAATTTACTAACATGAAGCTTACTTGGTAAATGACTGCCCACATGATAAATTTTAAACGTATATTGACCTTTCCCACCAGGCCCATCTTCATACGGTTCGTTTTTCAATATTTCTACACCACTTCCACGACCTGTGCTTTCTTCACGAGACTTTTTCTAGGTAAGAGATATAAAGATTTACAATGTATTAGTTTTTACACCAATGATTTTCTGTCTTCTTATAGCAAATCTACCCTGCATTGTACGATAGAGTCAAATTAATAAGTCAAAAAACCATGAATAACAGAATTCCAGGAAAATGAGAAGCCAAGATAATTCTATTTTACTTGATGATTTGATGCAGTTTACATCAATTTGCGACAGCTTAGTACATCAAAGGATGAGTACACTAGTAACTTTCATTAACGTACTCGACTGTTGTGGGATATGGTTACAGGCATTGGATAATTTTTGAATTCAAAGCAATCCCAACACGTTGAACAATCACAGGTATATATTGAGGTTAGGCGTAAAATTATAAACAAGGTGAGTAAATCATTCGGTGAGACTGATCTCTCATCCACTCAAATAGCTAAGATATATACGTATGCTGAGCCACGGTATAACCTGAAGTGCACTGTTAGATAGGATATATATAAGGAAAATAAATCTCTCACTAAACCAAACATAAGAGTTAACTAGAAAGTCAGTTAGTCTATGTAAACCATGTACATAAGTGTGCACTAACTGATCGTGGTCCACAAGATACTTGAAATGAATGGTTGTGATTCCCAGGTGACGTGACTCGAGAGTAAATAGCTTCCACTTGAGCAACGAAACGCACTCAGAAACCTTGTGCATGTTCATGAAGTGGGCACTGGAGCAGTGGGCTAATGATACTACCTGGCCGCCTAAAACACAGTGGGCAGGGCTAGGTTCGAAACTGTGACCTATTGGTTAAAAATCAGGTGCCTAAACCAATGAGCCATAGCTTCGCTTCGTGTAAGAATGAAAGTTTAATTTGTGACTTACAACATCAAAGAGACACGATAAAGACAAGTAGAACATATTTCTAATTACAAAGTTCGATGAAACGAAGTATAAAACGATATGATACCGATAATCACAATTTTCTTTACGTTTAATAACACTAAAAGATTCGGACTAGGTGATTGGATATGGGATATAAATGTCAAATAATTAACTGAAGCAGATATCAATGATTCATTATTCTACGACTCTGACTATGTAAAATACAAATGACTGCAAATTTGTGAACACAAACACCTCTCCACTCATAGCAACAAATTTATTAGCTGAGTGGTCCCTAATGTATGAGAAAAAAGAAGCATATAATGCGATCTTCCTTATATAATTTTCATCAAAAATTTTAACAGACGGAAAATAAGTAACAACTGATAAAGCGTACTTGAATCATATATAACTGAGCAATTCTGTATTCAGCAACCGTAAGAGGCATGCATATCCGATACTCTTTGAGAAGCATATTTTAAACCTGGAATTTTTTTAAAAATTCAAAAAAATATTTGTAAGTTTATTTGCACAAAACATTGCCACTTAGAATGCCAACTACGACAGACACAAGCAAACAATCAGCATACTTTTTCAATTTAGGGAGTTGGTTGATTTTTAATTGATTCTCATCATAATAGTCCAACTTCAGTGGTTCATCTGACGTCGAACTATGCTGAAAACTGCTTTGAAGTCATACTTTTTTTAATCGAGAGAAGTGCTTCAGAGTTTGCCAACCATTTGCAACACTCCATTTGATGTTACTCATACACTTTTAAAGATTCATCTACCTGGAAGTCATCTATCGTAGAATAAACACATGAAAATGGCTTCCTACGTAAAGATCCTGATCAGATGAAAGGTCTGTTGAAGGTAATGAGTGAAAATCTGAGATTGTTCGCGGTGTATTTTACACTGAATAGATATGAAACGAATCTACTGATGGGTAACTCTAAAGGCCACTCTGAGAACAAATCAATTATACTTCTGTATTTAATTAAAATTTGTCTTTCCAGCCGAAATAAAGAAACTTGATTGACTATTTCTGTCGCTGTTAGAGTGGCCTTTAGAGTAACTCCTACTAAGGTTTTTTTGTTCGCCTAAAACTCAACAGGAATACCTGATTCATTCCACATACAGGTATGACTCGTATATGCAGACGAGACATTAGTCATGATCATGATGCCCAACATCCGTTCACTATGAATTGAAATCAAAATGCACTCCGTAACCACATACATGTTCGTGTAGTAAGCAGTGACGACAAACCTGCTTCGTGAGGCCCAATGCTACTACCTATTTGTCAGGCCTCCGAGTTTTAATACACGACCCAACGGTTGGAAGTCACATACCTAAACCAATAATGATGCACATGTCTACCGTAGAAGACAAGACTGTCACTGGTTATTCATGCTCTGATTCACGAACATACATATGAACTACGCCTGCAATGTACCGTAACTTACAGAGATTAAATAATTAATATATGCAAATTAAAAAACAGAGGTAAGCAAGATAACTGATTTCCTTTAATAGGTAGTTATTTCCGAACCAAAAATCATCACCATTTATATCAACAGAGGACCGCCACTACTGTGTAACAGTCTGAGTTGCCACAACTCAAATCAGTACATCAAGTAAAAAGGCAGTCAGGTGCAAGATGAACATAAGAAAATTCAGTCAAAAGAAATACAAAGTACGAGAAGAAAGAATGAATGATTGACAAAATGGTGAGATTCGGTATAGCGTCGTTAAGATGAGGATAATGTGTGTATACATCTGCACCACTGTCATCGGTTCTCAGCCATGTCACCTAGAGTCTCCAACCACTGGTTCCTCTTGTCATTCAGACCCCAACCACCTAGTCTACATCCTCCCCCCACATGGCTTAAACCTACAGTCAAAGACTTCATACATTGATGCCATGTTTTAGCCTGGCCACCTCAGACCTTCTTCCAGCCTGGAACTACTTCGGCCAACATTGTATGACGAGGCAATCGACGACTAGGCATACGTAACACGTGTCCCAACCATCTCAATCGATAAAGGCTCATCACCTCGTCAACTGATTTACCTCTACTGCCTAAAACTCTGTAACTGACGTCTGCGTTACTCACGTGGTGACACCACGGAATACGGTCTATACTACGAAGGCAACGGTGGTCAAGCACCTGAAGCCAGCCTCCCCATATCTTCCACCTTCATTGGCCATGCTTCACAGCCATACAGTGGAACAGAGCATACTGCTGTGCAGTACACGCAACCCTTAATAGACAAACGGATATCTCGGTGGCGCCATAGGTGGCGTAAGTTGGCAAAAGCCAGCCAAGCCTTTTGTATTTGTGCAGAGATTTCATCGGCCACTGAGCCACTACTAGGGAGGGGCTGATCCTTCTTCTCAGGTAAGTGAAGTGCTTGACACACCCAAACACTACACTCACTCTCTATCGTTAGCCGCGGTACTGTTGAAGACCAATCCTGGAGCAACAATCTCCATTTGGGTGGTGAGAACCGCATCCCAAACATTCTCAAATTCCCACTCAGTATTCAGAAGACTCTGCATCTTCTCAGCGTCTTCACCTAACACGACTATGTCATTTGCATATTCTAGGTCTAACCAAAATTCTCCACCGATTAGGTCAACCTCTGTGTTGTCAGGTGACGACAGGGAGAATATCTATGATAAAATTGAATAAGAGTGGAGAGAGTGGACACCCTTGACGGACACCACTCCATGAGCACAGCCCCCCGGACATCTCACCATAGGCTCTAACATGCCCACAAGTGTTCGAGTAGACAGCCTTCAATAAGGTGATATACTTATTCGGCACACCTTTCACTGAGAAACATTACCATAAGATTTCTCGATCAAGAGAGTCGAATGCCGCCGCCTTCAGGTCGAGAAATACACCTATTGTCGAGCGTCGTAAGCGTGTCTGTGTTCCAAAACCTGGCACAGTGCGAATATTTGATCAATACACCCACGACCGGGTCTAAGGCCTGCCTGCCTGCTTGGTTTTCTCGCGCTTGCTCTTCTCGAGCTCCACTCAGACGTTGAAGAATTATAGAACCTAGAATCTTAGACACTATGTTCATCAGGCTGATACTTCTGTGGTCATCACAAGAGGACTTCTCGCCTTTCTTCAAGACTGAAATAATCAGTGATTCAGACCAGTCAGAGGGCATCGTATTTGATTCCTGTATTCTGGTTAACACTTCCATTAACCCGACTAACAGCATCTTATCACCATCCTTGTATACCTCACGAGTTAGTACATCGGGTCCTGCCTGCCGCCCTTCTTCGTTTCAGGTTACCTACAGCTTTCTCGATTTCTGCTAGTGTTGAGGGGCCTATCTCAATGTTCCATTCAGGATCCGACTACACAGCGGGCAACGCAATGGTGGCTGGAGGCCAGTTAAACTGTTCCTCGAAGTGTTCTGCCTATCGTTCCAGTTGTCTCCCCTGTGAGTCAATCGCAGATCCGTCCTTCTTCGCTATAGCCTCACTAACCGCAGTTGACCTTTTCCCTCCAGTCTCCTTAATAAGTCTAAATAACTGTCCACTATTACCGATCGCCGCTGCCTTTTTCATCTCTAGCCTTCGCTGCCCACCACTGTTCGCGATCGTTGCGTAGACTTTTTCTCAATTTACTTTGAAGTTGCGCTCGTAGAGATGATGAAGGGATCAATACAAAGCTCCCGAAATGATCTATAAGGCAATTATGTAAAATAAGTTAAGTAGAATGTCTTTTACAATAAATAAAATAATACGGATAATTATAGTTATCTGCGGTTCCTACTTTCTTGGCTTCGGTTGGTATAACAAAGACAAAGTATTTTGCTGTGTCAAAGAATTTACTCAGTTGGGGTGTTCTGTTAACTGTGATGAGTTGGTTACTAATTCTTGGCACGTTTAGAGCTTAATAAACTGCCCTGTAGGCAGTGGTCGCAAGATACTAAATGATTTGTGGAAAGTGAGTAGGTATGTCAGCGTCAATAAGGGACTCGGAATTACTGTATTGATGTTCAAGTTGCCAAACTTCACGTAAACACATTAAGGTAGAAGCCAGTAAGGAGAAAGGCAAATAAGGAAGAAAGTAACCAAAAATAGTGGTCATAAAAACAGAACAAATGAGGGAATAATGAAATCAGATAACAATTAAGGTGAAGATAAATGTGCGGATACATCTGTGTCACTGTGACCTATTCTGAACAATATCATTCGGTCTCCAACCACCAATTTCGGTTGTCACGCAGGCCACAACAGCGTCTTGATAATGTCTTCAACTGACGCAAGAGCGTCAACTATATACTCCTAATCTACAACAGATTTTTCTGCAACACGATCAATCCCTGTGAACTCAGATGAGCAGATGAAAACCTCCATAAGCATATCGATGGCAAAACTAAATAAGAATGGAGAAAGTGGACACTCTTGATGAGTATATCACATCAGTTTACTTTCCCCTACTTGACTAGTATGAGAGGTACGTAGAAAATATAACACGGTTACCGGTATTCAAACAAATTTGGCCGCATTTGACGGCACTGTTTTCTACGGTTGATTTACTATTTCAGTGCTGCTTTCATGTGTGACAACTTGAACCACTACACTTTTGTGCAAGGTTCTACGTTACGCTGTGTCACTAATAGTCTTATTAAATTTGATTTCCATCTGAAGTTAGAGGTAAAGTCATAATATCAGGTCTCTCAGCCAGATAATGAAAAGTAAACATAACAAGAGTCAAAAGTCTGGTCTGCAACTCAACCCAGTACAGGTATTCATGTACCAAGCTATGATTCACATCCACGGCGTGAAGATTCACGATATTACCCGGTTACCAAGGCCATGATATACCAGGATTCGAATTCAGGACCCATCGTTTTAATCTAATACTTAAGCTACCGAACATCCTCATTTTGGTTAGCTCACACTAGTAATGAAAAAACAGAAAAGAGTGTGATGCTTTAAAGCGACCTAGTTACCGATCAACTAGTAAGTCGTCACGCAACCGATCCTGGGATGTTTCAAACTTTCGTTCTCAGTTCAACAGGTAGACAACTTAACAACATGAACAAACAATGATATTTACTAATAATTTAGGTTTTACAGGAATACCGACTTCAGGTAATATGAAATCGGGAAATATTTCTAAAAATAGGTAAACGCAGTTGCAACACTAATGTATGCCGAAAACAAAACCCTTTTTAAATTAAACTCGAGTCAAAGAGTGAGTGTCCTGTTTAAATTGCTTAATTAAAGCTGAATGCACATACGAGAGATGATAACTATGTAATTTATTTTCAACGCTTTGGTAAACATTTTATTAATACCAAACGCAGCACAAGTTTCTTTAGTTTTGATCATACTTTTCCACATCCTTTGAGATGCTTGATGATATAACGAGCACAGTTATCAAGAAGACAGTTGTATCAAACAGCTAATTTTTCTAATATAAAGATATACAGAAGGCA